CCCGGGGCGCCAGTTTCGTAGCGCAGCGTAGCGCTAACTGCTGCGCCACCGCTCCCCCGACGTACACACACGTTACAACAACAACCGCCATTCGCCACTAAGTGGCGGTGACGTCACCACGACGCTTGTGTCAGGCCATGTGCATCTTGAGGCCACGTGTCGAACGCACGCTGGCAGGTCACGGGGCAGACAAAGGTGCAATGGGTCGACTGACTGAGATGACTGAGATGACTGGCTGATGCACCACCCTGTGCCCCCTTGCTGTGCCAACTTGATGTGCTTTAGCCACCCGGCGCTTCGCTCGTTGTTGTGAGCGTACACACACACGCGCACGCACTCACCCGCAATCAATCATTTCGCTTGGCATGCATTGCAATGCAGTCGCCCAATTAATGACTTGTTCATTTCGGTGTCGCGGCAATGCACGACACGATAAGCGTCGTGCATACACCACCTGTATATAGACACACAAACACGAACTATGGGTGGATGGGGTGGTAGTGGTGGTAGTGGTGGATGGTGGGTGGGGTGGTGGGAGTGATGGGGGTGGGGTGGTAGTGGTGGGTGGGGTGGTGGTGGGTGGGTGGGGTGGTGGGGGTGGATGGAGTGGTAGGGGTGGTGGGAGTGATGAGGGTGGGGTGGTAGTGGGTGGGGTGGGTGGGTGGGTGGTTGGGGTTGTGGGTGGGGTGGTGGGGGTGGATGGGGTGGTAGGGGTGGTGGTAGGGGTGGTTGGGGTGGTGGTGGTAGGGGTGGGTGGGGTGCTCGGGGAGGATCGGGGTGGTGCTGAGAGTGATGGGGGTGAGGTGGTAGTGAGTGGGGTGGGGGGGGGTGTTGGGTGGTGGTTGTGGGTGTGCGTGGGGTGGTGGTGGGGCTAGGTGGGGGAGGAGGCGCACAGCAGTGTTGCAATGTCGACTGAAATGCGCTCCCAGCGAACTCTCGTCGTCGGTGGGGGAGGTGATGTTGAAGCCACCGGCAGGCAATGCCCATCCCCAAAAACCGAGCCCACACCCTTGGTCGCTGTCTTCACGAAACCCTGGCTGGTGGTGGGGGGGGGGGGTACACGTGGGCGCCACGGTGGCTAGGAGATGTTAACTACCTTGCTTGGTACGCAGGAGGTCGCAGGTTCGACGTCGAACCATATGCCTGCTGCTGTATATTTGGAGTCTGCGTCTCTCTCTCATTATCATCACGGTGGCTAGGAGATGTTAACTACCTCACCTGGTGCGCCTGAGACCGTGGGTTCGATCCCAGACCCTGACCGACGCCTGCCTACTGCTGTATATTTGGAGTCTGTGTCAACTCTTACCCCGTGGTGGTCACTGCGTGGAATTTTTGGTCCTCCGAATGTTTTCCTCCATTGACGTCGCAGCGCCGTTGATACCAGTTTTGGCCGCTGCTATGAATCTCCACGTGATGATGAGGACGAAGGAGCCACCGCCTCGCTGAGCTCTCGTCCGTGATGGGCCGGGTGGCTTCTCGAATAAGTAATATTTTAAAAAACTTTTTTAAAAACACGCTTTTATCAAATGTACTAGTAATGGAAGAACTCCAAGACTCCAGGAAGTGGCCTGAAGCTTGCCATAACGTAAGGGACCGTGGCCAATTACAACAAACGTCAGTTGAGCGTGGACAATTAGACCCAAGCCGACACATAACATAAAAAAAGAATGCTTAAAAAAATATATATTTTATTTCCTATGATAGAATATAGTATTGTCATCAGTATGACATGAGTATATCAAGTTTGCAGTCGATACTACATTGGGAAGTGGGTTAAAATTGAGTTACAAGATTTGAGGATACAACAACAGACAGAGTGAGTTAAATGAAAGAGTGTAAAATAATATTTAAAAATACCTTTTAAAAACATAGCTTTAATGAAATGTACCATACGAGTAACGGCAGAACTCCAGGAAGTGGCCCCGAAGCTTGCCATAACGTAAGGGACCGTGGTGATTTACAGCCAACGTTAGTTGAGCGTGGACAATTACACCCAAGCCGAAACATAACATATGTAACGGGTTCCGGAGACACTTGTAGAGGTAACTTATTTATTACAATCCAACACTCCAACTCTCCAACTCTCCAACACTCCTGATACTCTGTTACAGCCTAGGTACACAGCCTAGGTACACAGCCTAGATACTCTACTCTGGCTACGCTCTGGAACTCGCCCTCACAAGGTCGTAGAGTCGGGAGTTCCAGAGTCCCACCACTGGCTCTCACAACATCCCAGGGTCCTCAGATGGCTGGTCTTGTGTCTTGGGTCTTGAGCTACGACTGGCCCTGATCGTCCAGGGAGCTCCCCTTTTATGCCTAGTCCAACGAGGGGTGGGGCCATGTGCGCCACCAGACATCCCACAGAGCACACACAGCCCCCCCCCCCCCCCCCCGTTGGCGGCGCCAAGAGGCTTAAATGCCTGGCGCCAAGAGGCTTAAGCGTCTGGACCCGCCTGGGAACCCAGCACCTGGTGCCAAGAGGCTTAAGCGCCTGGCCCGCCCAGGGTCCCAGAGCCCCCAGCAGCCCCTCCCTTCTTATGTCACTACACATATAACAAATATTGTTTAAAATTTGTATTTCTTTATCCTTTTTTTTTATAGAATATGGTATTGTTATCAGTATGACATAAGTGTAGTGCTGAACTTTACGCGGACAACTTCTTATTTTTCCGTCATCACTTTATTTTCATCAAACTCAGCATAGTCCACAACCAAGACTCCAGCGCGTTCTCTGCTCGCTCGCCGCACTCCGCTGGCCGAGCTCGCTCCGTTCCCTCCCTCTCTTTCTCCGTCTCTTTCTCCCCCAACTCTCCTCTCTGCCCCGCCCGTCTCGGCTTCGATCGTCTCGCTCTCCCTCGACTTCTCCGTCTCACTCCAACTGTCTCTCTCTCGTCTCCGTCTCACTCCGACTGTCGCTCCCTCCCTTGGCTTCTCCGTCTCACTCCGACTGTCTCTCTCTCTCGTCTCCGTCTCACTCCAACTGTCGCTCCTTCTCTTGTCTCCGTCTCACTCCAACTGTCTCTCTCTTGTCTCCGTCTCACTCCGACTGTATCTCTCTCTCTCTCGTCTCCGTCTCACTCCAACTGTTGCTCTCTCAGCTTCTCCGTCTCACTCCGACTGTCTCTCCCTCGGCTTCTCCGTCTCACTCCAACTGTCTCTCTCTCGTCTCCGTCTCACTCCGACTGTCGCTCCCTCCCTTGGCTTCTCCGTCTCACTCCGACTGTCTCTCTCTCTCGTCTCCGTCTCACTCCGACTGTCGCTCCCTCCCTTGGCTTCTCCGTCTCACTCCGACTGTCTCTCTCTCTCGTCTCCGTCTCACTCCAACTGTCGCTCCCTCTCTTGTCTCCGTCTCACTCCGACTGTCTCTCTCTGTTCCCGTTCCACTGCTAGCCTATTCTATCTCTCATCTCTTCTTCTTTTCCGTCTCGACTGCTAACCTATTCTTCTGCTCCAACCGTCTCCGTCCAGCTCCCAGCACAACTCCTCGTCTCATTCTCACGCTCCCGTATTTATCCCGGTCCTCATTAATTTCCAATTAATTAACCGGCGTCTCCCCCCCCAGGCCCCGCGCCCGCGGCCCCCGCCGCCACCTGCTCCCATCCCCAGACTTACTGGCGCCATCTTGTCCCTGACAACAACAACCGGCCAATCACTGCTCTGCGTCCCATAATTACCTAACGAGCCGTCTCTCTCCGGCCGTTGTCTCCCAGCAACACCTGCTTGTCCTGATGCGACCCCACTGTCCATAACCCACACGTGTTTACAATTTCCCCCCTTGGCAGCGTTAATCTACTATGTAAGTATACCAAGTTTGCAGTCGATACCACATTGGGAAGTGGGCTAAAATTGACTTACAAGATTTGAGGATACGACAACAACAGACAGAGTATGTTATTAGAAAGCGTGTAAAAAGATTGTTTAATTTTTTTAATGATAAAACACAGTATTGTCGTCAGTAAGACGTAAGTATACAAAGTTTTCAGTCGATACCACATTGGGAAGTGAGTTAAAATTGAGTTACAAGATTTGAGGATACGACAACAACAAAAGACAGAGTGAGTTAATAGAAAGCGTTTAAAAAGATTGTTTAAAAATATACAGTATTTTTAATGATAGACTATAGTATTGTAATCAGTATGACATAAGTATACGATGTTTGCAGTCGATACCACATTGGGAAGTGGGTTAAAATTGAGTTACAAGATTTGAGGATACGACAACAACAGAGTGAGATAAATAAAAGCGTGTAATAATAGAAATGCGCTATCACGGCAGCTGAGTAGCAGGGCCTTAGACTTGGTGAAATAAGAAAACACGTCCATGATAGGGGTTATTTTTTGTGGGTCAGATCGCGTAAATGTATAAATGTTGTGTCGTTAAAACCCGCCGCCACCCGACACAGCCAACTAGTGAGGGTTGTCACGGTAACAGAACGTGGCCAATTCGTCACTAGTACAGCACTAGTGTGTAGTGTAGTGTGTAGTGTATAGTGTAGTATATAGTGTAGTGTATAGCAGTGTAGTGTATAGCAGTGCATAGTATAGTATATAGTGTAGTGCATAGTGTAGTATATAGTGTAGTGCATAGTGTAGTGCATAGTGTAGTGTATAGTAGTGTGTAGCGTAGTGCATAGTGTAGTGTATAGTGTAGTGCATAGTGTAGTGTATAGTGTGGTGCAGTTTATAGCAGTGTAGTGTATAGTCGTGGATATTGTAGTGTATAGTGTCGTGCATAGTGTAGTGCATAGTGTAGTGCATAGTGGTTTAGCCATATGTTTGTTGTAGTACAGAGTTAGACTGATAACTTTAATGGTTTTGAACACAGCATTGATATACGATGCTTTTTCTGGAAGACTTTGCTGTTTTTTCCTGAATTTTTCTGTTGCACGTAATCACTTGAAGATGTTCCTTGTTCATGTTTTTGTTTTGTTGCGGTTGCGCCCGAGTCAAGAGCCACATGGCTCATAGGGTTATACCTAATAAATGATAGTGAAATGAAACTGAATTAAATGACTCTTTATTAAACAACTCTGGGAGTCATCGGCATCAGCGTTAAACAGCAGCAGCATCAGTAGCAGCAGCACTTTGATCAGCATCAGTAGCATCATCATGATCAGCAACAGCAGCAGAACGATCGATTTTGACAGAAAATGACGATCGGAATCGGTGTTTTAATAAACGCGGTACTCATTCGGCAACATCAGCACCCACGTAGCCACCACCACCAACACCGCCACCACCGTCACTATCATCACCGGCCAGGCCAGGTAGCACTTTGAGGCCGTCACGTGAAGTGTTGAATGTTCGCCGCTGACAGGAGGTCACGGGACAGACCCAGCAGGTGCCATGGGTTGTGGCTGACTGAGATGACCGGCAGATGCAACCACCGGCTGTACCCCCCTACTGTGCCACCATCACCACCACCACCACCGTCGCCACCACCAAAATTGCATCGTCGTCACGCGGCGCTTTCAGGTTCTGCTGTTGCTGCGGCCCGTCTGGAACGCTCTCTTCCCTTCCGATGTTAGGAAGCCAGTGGGAGCCGTGATGCACTTTTAGATCAGCATCATCGTAACAAACTCACTGATTTTTTTTGGTGTGTTAACTTTGTGCATCCTGCAATCGCAATTCCTCCGATTGGCGCGGTTGGCTACGTACAGTGCGAAAGAAGTTAAACGTACATACACACTGCCCATGGACTAATACTACCCATAGACTCAACACTACCGATAGACTCAACACTGCCCGTGGACTCAATACTACCCATAGACTCAACACTATCCCACAGACTCAACACTACCCATAGACTCAACACTACCCATAGACTAACACTGCCCATAGACTCAATAATACCCACAGACTCAACACTACCCACAGACTCAACACTACCCATAGACTCAACACTACCCATAGACTAACACTGCCCATAGACTCAACACTACCCCTAGACTCAACTCTGCCCATAGACTAACACTACCCATATACTATTACTACCCATAGACTCAATATTGCTCATATACTAACATTGCCCATAGACTAGCATTGCCCATAGACTGCCATTGCCCATAGACTATCATTGTGCATAGACTAACATTCCCCATACACTGACATTGCATATAGACTACCATTGCCCATAGACTATCATTGCCCATATAATGACATTTCTCATAGACTAACACTGCTCATAGACTATCATTGCCCTTAGACTAACATTGCTCACATACTAACTGTGCTCGATGATGATGTATGTATGTTGGGCTTCTTTTGCACAGTGCATAGCCAACTGTGCTAATCGGAGGTGCGGGGTGATGATGGTGGTGGTGGTGATGTCTTAATGATGATGTTGATTGCGTTCATCCATAGGGGTCTGCAGAAGACCTGTTGTGTCTTCTGTGCAATGATCGTGTTGATGTCGGTGATGGTGTTGATGTTGATGGTGGTGTTGATAGTGATGATGTTGATGGTGATGATGTTGATGGTGATGATGTTGATGGTGATGATGTTGACGATGGTGATGTTGATGGTGATGATGTTGATGGTGATGATGTTGATGATGATGGTGATGATGTTGATGATGGTGATGATGATGATGTTGATGATGTTGATGTTAATGGTGGTCTACCTGGACGAATGGGGAGACAGGGGCCGGTATCCTCTGCGCAACGGTGACGGGGATTTTGATGGTGATGATGTTGATGGTGATGTTGATGATGTTGTTGGTGGTCTATCTGGACGAGTGGGGAGACAGTGGCCGGTATCCTCTGCGCAAGGATCGCTTCTTGCGGTAGACGAGGGCGACCGCCACGATGAAGGCGGCGGCGATGACGGCGATTGGAGTCACGAACTGCGACACGGCCACTGTGGTGCCGGCAGAGAGAAAAGTGCACTTCGTCACCATCGGATCGTCATCATCATCGTCACCATCAACATATTCACTGCTGTCGTCAACATCATCATAATCGCTATCAGTATCAACATCGTCACTATCGAGATCATCATCACTATCAACATAATCTTCACTATCAACATCATCACTATCAACATCATCGTCATCTTCACCACCACCAACAACGACCGCCATTGACCACTAACTGGCGGTGACATCGCCGCGGCACCGAGACCACGCGAAGTGTCGAAGGCTCTCCGCTGACAGGAGGCCACTTGACAGACCCAGGTGCCATGGGTTTACTAACCGAAATGACCGGCAGAGGTTTGGCACCTCTGCTGCCAGGTCATAAGCACACTACCCAGGTACGGAAACCTCTCCACTCTCTCCACAAGACACCCAGGCAGGTGCTTAGTTTCGGTGGGGCTGATGGTAAGACCCCACCTCTTAGTGGCACACTCCAGGTTCAGCAGCAGCAGAACCTCTCAGAGTGGGCTGCAATCGCAAGATCATCAGCATACATAACGTGGTTTACCAATGGGGAGTCATCCCTTGACCACACCCGTGCATCGTTCAGCCTCCCATTGTATCTGTACCAGATAGAAATTCCACTGGTACAGTCATTGAAATATTCTCGAACTGCGTGGTCAAAGATGTTAAATAGTGTAGCGGCCAGAGGACATCCCTGTCGCACCCCAAGGTGAACAGGGGATGGCTCTGACTCACGGCCCCGCAACTTTACCTGGGCCTGCCCACCATAATGAAGGCCCTTAATGATTGTGAGCAGATAGTCAGGGACTCCGAAAGCATGAAGAACTGCCCACAGCCCTGACCTGTTGATGGACTAATAGGCCTTGACCAGGTCAATAAGTCCCTTTTAAATTCCATACACCTCTGCTGTAGCAGACAGACAGAATATGGCGTCTGTGCAGGACCGCCCCGGCCTGAAATCGCATTCGGGTCTCCGCAATCCTCTCCTCAGCGTGCCTGTCAAGGCGATGTTAAATAATCCTTGCCAAGGCACACCGAGGAGGCAGATGCCACTGTAGTTGTTACAGTCTGTGTGGTCCCCCATATAGCCTGAAAAAACTGTTGGGGCAAGTGCTGTTAGAGAGTAACTATAAAGGCCGGCAATGTGGTACAAGAGGCGGTGGGTGGCCAGCACCATGCCCGGCCACCTTCTACTCCCCAGTGGCGATGTTTACTACCCTACACCGCTACACCAGGTAACTCATTTGAGGCTTAGTCAACCTAGGGGAGGTGCAGGACCGGTTCAGATAATCGTCACCACCGTCATCAACAACAACCGCCATTCGCCACTGGATGGCGGTGACGTCACCATGACGCTTGTGCCAGGCGACGCGCACGTTGAGGCCACGTGAAGTGTCGAACGCCCGCCGGCAGGAGGCCACGGGGCAGACCCCAGCAGGTGCGCCACGGGTCGACAGACTGAGACGACGACTGGCCGATGCACTACCACCTGCGCCCCCCCGCCCCCGCCCCTACTGTGCCGACATCACCGCCACCGCCGTCGTGATTACCGGAGGAGCGGTTCGGTTCCCCGATTACGAGCGGCCCGCGGGACACGGTGTGCACCGCCGACTCGACGATCTCGCCCATGGCGCCGGCGCTCCTCCTGCGACGGGCGCTGTTGACGCAGCCCTGCTGGCAGCGCGTGCCCGCCTGGCCCGCCTTGCACACCAGCACGTCACAGTGCAGGAAGACCTGGGGGGGAGGAGTGGGGGGGACACGTGGGTCAGTGACGTTGCATTGCAGGGACACCTGGGGGGGGAGCAGGGGCACGGGGGGAGGGGGACATGGGGCGACACGCGGAGGGGGGGGGTGGACCACGTGGGTCAGTGTAGACACGTAGACCAGCACGTCACAGTGCAGTGACACGTGGGGAGTGTGGGGGGGGGTGTGGAGAGCTCCAGGTGCCCACAGAAGGTCTGAAGTCAACATAGGTAAGTTCAGCAGTGGCGGCAAATCCCACTCGGGTTTGCCAGACCTCTGCTAAGCACCACACAGTCCCCCCCCCCCCGTTAAACACGAATCAGCACCCACCCCCCAACTGCACACACGCAACAGCCATAACAGACTGTGTGGTGGCAAGTGCTGTTAGGAGCCTACGAAGGCCGCCACTGGGTCCGGAACGGCACCAAAACCCCGGCCGCCCGGGCCGCCGTGGTCTCTCCCTCATTGTTTTGAGGCCGAGTCGACCTAGGGGGGAGCACCCAGGACCCGGTTCAAATCATCAAACTCGCGTCTCAGCCAGCCTCGAAGCGCAGCGCAGCGCAGCAGATGCCCGCCGACGGCTAACTTCTGCGCCACCGCTCCCCCTCTAGCCTTGCGACACGGCGCTTGTGCCAGGCTAGGTGCACCGCTTCACCCCACTACTCTCCCCCCCACACTCCCAACCACCACGGGGTCGTCCCATCTCTTGCGCCCACCTGCTTGAACTCCCCGACGAAGGCGAAAGCGGTGAAGCTGAACTGGTTCTTCTTCAGGAAGCTGCTGTAGCTCTTCCATGTCGAGTCCAGCACACAGCTGTTGGGGTGGGGGGGGGTAGGGGAGGGATAGGGTAGAGGTGAAAGTTGTCACGTGCATTTTCCCCTCCATGTTTGGAATCTAAGTCTACCTCGCCTGGTGTGCAGGAGGGTCGTGGGTTCGATCCAGACCCCTGACGATGCCTGCTGCTGCTGTAGATTTGGAGTCTGCGTCTTTCTCTCATCATCATCATCACTATGGCTAGGAGATGTTGACTACCTCGCCTGGTGTGCAAGAGGTCGTGGGTTCGATCCCGACCCCTGACGATGCCTGTTGCTGCTGTATATTTGGAGTCTGCGTCTCTCTCATCACCATCACGGTGGCCCAGGAGATGTTGACTACCTCGCCTGGTGTGCAGGAGGTCGTGGGTTCGATCCAGACCCCTGACGATGCCTGCTGCTGCTGTTGTAGATTTGGTGTTTGCATGTTTCTCTCTCTCTCCCCGTGGTCACGCTTTGGGAGAGTATTCGCCTACCACTATGGATCTCCACGTGGTCAATGACGATCGATTTAAGGCTTTCGTGACTGCAGGAATTAATATTCATTGGTGGGTCTTTCGGTAAAGTCACGTACATAGATTGAAATTAATACGAATAAATTAACAAAAACTATGACGTTGCGATCACAACACAAGCGATTGTCAGCTCTCTTTCCTCCTGACGACGGACGCTTGTGTTGTGATCGAAACGTCGTGTTTTATTGTTTATTTTTATTAATTTGAACCTATCTACGTGACTTTACCGAAAGAGCCAAAGAATGTAAAAATTAAATAGTCAAAAGATTTAAAACTTTCGTGACTACAGGGATTCATCTTCTTGGTTGTTTCGGTAAAGTCACGTAGAAGGGAAATAATAAAATAATACAAATAAAACATAATAAAATACAATTCTCACGACGTTTCGGCCACAACGCAAGCATCCGTCCTCAGGTGAAGAACAGGTCTGTCGGAAAGACAGCGTCTGAATGAACACCTTCCTCCTCTAACCCAGCTTAAATATATGCTGCCAAGCCTGGTGGTGTTCATTCAGACGCTGTCTTTCCGACAGACCTGTTCTTCACCGGAGGACGGCTGCTTGTGTTGTGGCCGAAACGTCGTGAGAATTGTATTTTATAATGTTTTATTTTTATTATTTTATTATTTCCCTTCTACGTGACTTTACCGCAAGAACCAAGAAGATGAATCCCTGTAGTCACGAAAGCTTAGTTAAAAGTTCCGTTCATGCATTTTTCTCCGGGTGCACCAGGTTTTTTCTCCTCCATATTTCGAATCGACGTCGCGCTTTGAGAGAGCATTCGGCTACCGCTATACATCTCCACGTGATGATGATGTTGATGTTGCCAGTATCAGCAATTTGGTTGAGCGGCTATCATTTGTGATAGCCAGGTCAGGCGGCTTCTGAAAAAGATCTACTACGTAGATCAGTGGCGGGGGGAGGGGGGTTGAATGGGCGTATGCCTGCTAAAGTTACAAAACTTAAATTGTTAAAATAGTTTGACGGTCATCGTGCGACTGACGGCACGAGCCCGGGGCGTGGAAACGTCGTCAGATTCCGGCGGAGGAAGGTATTCTCGACGCGGTTACGTGACGCGCGGTCCCGAGACGGGCCATTCCTTTGTTGTCCATTATACAGCTTTTGTTGGGTTAGATCGCGTAAATATGTAAATGTCCTGTCGTTAAACTCGCCATCACCCGGCACAGCCAATTAGTAAGGGGTTTGTCACGTAAACAAAAGGTGGCCAATTCGTTACTAGTACAGCGCTAGTGTATAGTGTAGTGCATAGTGTGGCGTATAGTGTCGTGTATAGTGGAGTACTACACCGGTTGTGTGTTGGAGAGCAAATCCACAACATTTACAATCTTAGTACGACGTATTGCCTGATGAAGCTAGTTGTAATTACTGGCAAAACGTCGTACTAAGATTGTTAATGTTGTGGCTTTGCTCTCCGACACACAACTGGTATGCTGTACTAGTAACGAATTGGCCACCTTCTGTTTACGTGACAAACCTTACTTTTTGTCTGTGTCGGGTGGTGGCGGGGTTAACGACACAACATTAATATATTTACGCAATCTAACCCAACACAACTTGGATGATAGTGGTCACGAAAGCCTACGACGTGTTAAACTTCCATTGCTCGTTCTGCCGAGGTGCTTGAGTCGAGCTCGGGACGGAGTTCAGGCAATGTTAGTCTATGGTCAATGTTAGTCTACAGGTAATATTAGTCTACGGGCAATGTAAGTCTATCGGAAATGTTAGTCTACAGGCAATGTTAGTCTACGGGCAATGTTAGTCTACGAGCAATGTGGGTCTACGTGCAATGTTACTCCGTGCACAATGCTAGTCCACGTGCGGTGTCAGGGGTCTCCGTTCGCGTACCCATTCTTGACGAGGTCGTATCGGATGGGGTCCTGGGGGTCCCCGCTGGGGGTTGCGAAGCAGTTCTCGGTGAAGAGCGTGACGCTCAGGTTGGACTTGACGGCGAGCTGCACAAAGACGTTCTGGTTCTCCTTGAAGTGCACGGGGTAGTCGCTCTTCTTGTACGGCAGCGCGAAGCGCTCCGAGTGGTACAGCTCGATGTTGAAGACGAAGTCGCCGAAGCCCGTTTCCGTCACGAAGATGCTGCCCGTGTCCGGCACGAAGTTCACCGCCAGGCTGCGGCGCTTGTCGTACTTACACCTGGAGAGCGAGAGACGATGTGAGGCGGTGGCGGAGATCGTGAAGATGAGATGGAGATGAGTGATGAGGATGATCACAGAGAGAGATTGTGGAGATGAGAGAGATGACAGTCAAGAAGTTCACGGACAGACAGACGAGAGAGAGACGGCAGAGGTGAGACAAAGAGGGACACGAGAGTCAAGATGTTCACAGCGAGATATCGTGCAGATGACATTGAGATGAGACAGATGAGAGATCAGAGTGAGGATGTTCACAGAAAGAGGGATGAGAGTGACCGTGGAGATGAGATGGAGATGAGACAGAGAGACGACAGTCGGGATGTTCACACAAAGACCGCATCCTTAAAACCTTAACCATCGTGTTATAGCGAGAATTCCATCATGCGCTAGACTCGCGTTGTAGCGAGTAGTCCATCACATGCTAGACTCCCATTACAGCGAGTATTCCATCACATGCTAGACTCCCGTTACAGCGAGTAGTCCATCACATGCTAGACTCCCATTACAGCGAGTATTCCATCACATGCTAGACTCCCGTTACAGCGAGTAGTCCATCACATGCTAGACTCCCGTTACAGCGAGTAGTCCATCACATGCTAGACTCCCGTTACAGCGAGTAGTCCATCACATGCTAGACTCCCGTTACAGCGAGTAGTCCATCACATGATAGACTCGCGTTGTAGCGAGTAGTCCATCACATGCGAGACTCCCGTTACAGCGAGTAGTCCATCACATGCTAGACTCCCATTACAGCGAATAGTCCATCACATGCTAGACTCCCATTACAGCGAGTAGTCCATCACACGCTAGACTCCCATTACAGCGAGTAGTCCATCACATGCTAGACTCCCATTACAGCGAGTAGTCCATCACATGCTAGACTCCCGTTACAGCGAGTAGTCCATCACATGCTAGACTCCCATTACAGCGAGTAGTCCATCACATGCTAGACTCCCGTTACAGCGAGTAGTCCATCACATGCTAGACTCGCGTTGTAGCGAGTAGTCCATCACATGCTAGACTCCCGTTACAGCGAGTAGTCCGCCATGCGCGGGTTTGTAGCGAGTAGTAAAAAAATATATAAACCACGTTAAAGCGGAAAGACGTCGTGCGAACGGACGCGCATTAAACGAGGATTTACTGCACGTTGGTGTTCGGACAGAAGGAACCGCACCGCATGCGTGATCTCGTGACGGCTCTAAGTTGAACGCGCTTACGTACGTGAGCGGGACCTGGATGTCGTTGAAGTTGCGGATGATGGGCAGGCTCCTGTTGGCCGACTTGAGGGTGAGCGTCTGGGAGAAGATCATCTGCGAGTCCGTCTCCTGCAGGGACGGCAGATATCACCGACAGCCACATCAACTCGCGCTGTTGCGGACCCGACGTGGTCGCGCGATCCCTCAATGGGAGGATGAGGAACGGCAATGCTACACGAGCCCTCGCCTTCTGCTGAACCTGTCTCTTTCACCGTGGCCAGAGGCAGCGGCCGCTGAACCTCCACATTGGGCATCTTAGCTCTTGAACGACATCTCTGCTTTCATCATCATTGCAAGAATCTAATCATTTACGGACAATGTAAGTCGAGTGCAATATTAGTCTATGGGCAGTGTTAGTCTATGTGCAATGTGAGTCTATGGGTAATGGGAGTCTATGGGCAATGTTAGTCTATGTGCAATGTGAGTCTATGGGTAATGTGAGTCTATATGCAATGTGAGTCTATGGGCAATGTGAGTCAATGTGCAGTGTTAGTCAATGGAAAATGTGAATCTACGCGCAATGTTAGTCTCCATGCAATGTTTGTCGACGTGCAATGTTAGTCTATGGGCAATACTAGTTTATGGGTAGTGTTAAGTCTACTGTCAATTTTAAGTCTATGTGCAGTGTTGAGTCTATGGCGCAGTGTTGAGTCTATGGCGCAGTGTTGAGTCTATGGCGCAGTGTTGAGTCTATGGTGCAATGATGAGTCTATGGCGCAGTGTTGAGTCTATGGTGCAGTGTTGAGTCTGCGGTGCAGTGTTGAGTCTACGGTGCAGTGTTGAGTCTATGGTGCAGTGTTGAGTTTATGGTGCAGTGTTGAGTCTATGGCGCAGTGTTGAGTCTATGGCACAATGTTAAGTCCACGGTTGAGTTTAAGAGCTGTTGCACACCGCACCTGGCACACGGCGCCGCAGTCCACGATGCCGATGTCAAAGACGATGAACTGGCCATTGTCGAGTGGCGAGCAGCCCGGGGGCGAGCCGTCATTGAGCGAGAAGTCGCTCGCGTTGTGGCCCGCCACCAGCACCTTGGGGATGTAGGCTGACATCCGCTCATCCTGGCACGACAGCCGCACCTCAGCTAAAGGGGGGGGGGGGTGGGGAAAGAGCGACGGACACGACAATGGTGAAGAGGATGTCGGCGCATGTAAAAGTGGCTGGAGCACGATAATTTAATCGAGTTATTTTATTACGGCAAGTCCTCATTTAATGTGGCGGCGGTCGTAGATGCGTTCCCGAAAGGTGTCGCTTAAAGCGATAAAACGCATTGAGTGAAAACAATTTCCCCACGAGCAATGTACCGATAATGTTTGGCGAGATACAACGTACCACTGTGCACGCCGCGCCATGGGATGGCGGGACCAGTAACTGAGGGTACACACTCGAGTTTTTTTCCCCTCCAGAATTTAGAAACGTGCACTCGGAGAATTTGGCTGCTATAAATGTCCACGCGACAATCCACTTCGTTGACCTAGCATTTGTGATAGCCAGGTCGCTTCTGAAAGAGAGCTAATGGCTCAGGTAGCTCTGCATGGACAGTGTTAGTTTGAGTGCAATATAAGTCTGTGCAAAGTGTTAGTCTATGCTCACTGTTGGGTGATGTGTAATGCCAGTCTAAATGGACATTGTTAGTTTATGTGCAATGTAATCATGAATTCTAGATTTGAAGCTTTCGTGACTGCAGGGATTCATATTCTTAGGTTTTTTCGGTAAAGTCACGTAGGTAAAAAACATTAAAAAGTAAAATAAAAAAAATAAAAAATAAAAAATCACGACGTTTCAGAGGCAACACATGTAATCATGATCGCTGCCACCACGCAACCTACCAGGGTGACATCCCAGCATTCCGTTCTTCAGGAAGCAGACTTCGTTGCCCATGCACCCGCTGGGGTCTTTCGAGATGTTGTACTGCGAGTAGCAGGTGTAGTGGTACGAGCAGTCCCATGACCACCACTCGTCGCCCACCTGCACACACACAAACGGCCGTTTGGATTGTCGGCTTGAACGATCTAAAATGTAATATCCACCGGTTGGCCTGCGGACGCATCTGCTGCACATATTTGATGCTATAGGTCTATTACCTTAAATCAGCAGGGTATTTCGACCTCTAGTAGTGCCTTGCCCTTCCTCGGTTTGACCTGGCCCTTCCGCATTATGACATGCTCCGTCCCCTTTATGTAGGGGCAGAGGTTTAGGTAATTAAATAGGAGTTGAAGATGTCTTATGTCGTGTTAGAGAAATAGGCTTTGTGATAGATGAGTAGACTAGGCCTTGTGTGGCGGTAGAGGACTTAGGCTCTGACACAAATGACGTGAACTAGGCCTCACTTGATGATGAAGGAATTGGGCTGTGACACAGATGACATAAACTAGGCCTCATGTGGTTTGTAAAGGAATTATGCTTTGAAGCAAACTAGGCCTCGCATGGCGATAGATACATTCCCCTCTGGGCACAGATGAAGCAGACTAGGCCTCACGGGATGGTAGATTAGGCTCTGGGCACAGATGAAGCAGACTAGGCCTCATGGGATGGTAGATTAGGCTCTGGGCACAGATGAAGCAGACTAGGCCTCATGGGATGGTAGATTAGGCTCTGGGCACAAATGAAGCAGACTAGGCCTCACGGGACGGTAGATTAGGATCTGGGCACAGATGAAGCAGACTAGGCCTCACAAGATGGTAGATTAGGCTCTGGGCACAGATGAAGCAGACTAGGCCTCATGGGATGGTAGATTAGGCTCTGGGCACAGATGAAGCAGACTAGGCCTCACAGGATGGTAGATTAGGCTCTGGGCACAGATGAAGCAGACTAGGCCTCACGGGATGGTAGATTAGGCTCTGGGCACAGATGAAGCAGACTAGGCCTCACGGGATGGTAGATGCCGTCCATGGTGCAGCCGCAGCTGGCCGCGTCCACGCAGGCTTCGTCGTGCAGGAAGAAGCCCGGGCTGCACTCACACGCCTCGACACATGCCTGCCGTTTTGGGCACGCGGCGCTGGGGAAGCCGCACGCGCTCAGGCACGGCGATGCGCACGCCTTGTACGCGCTGTTCGCCGGGCAGCTCAGCGCTGCCGGGTGGACCAGGGCAGGTGAAAGGGAAGAAAAAAACGAAAGAAGGATGAGAAAAATAATCTTTCAACATGCTCAAATTTCCGTCACGCTTCCTCAACGTGCGTTCGCCATCAGCTCTGCTTGGACGTGTGCAAGACGTTAATAATTCTTCCAACTTGTAAGGCGCCAGGTCATCCGAGCGATTGAGAGCTTCATTCGAGGGGGGGGGGGGGTGGCTGTCAATTCTTGGACACGTCGCCCATCTCGATGCGCAAACTCCAGCAAACTTCCCGCTTCAGTTGTCGGTTGACGTTTCGTAGCAGACTGTGACTCTATAAAGATTGGTGCTGCCCCCCCCCAATCCATGGTCACCGCCGTGATATGTGCATCAATCACTTCCTGGGAGGAAGCAATGAATTGGCGTGGAGGTTGGTAGTGTATATATCTATAGATAAGTCGCAAGTGTCCTTTTGCCACGCTCAGAATCTGTTCATGAGTCAATGTTAATTTATGAGTTGACGTTTGCATCCGCGACCCCCGCTTTGCACTCAGGTTAAGTTGGCACGGTCCAGATCTTTCTCGAATTGGTGGTGTGGTGTAGCGGGGGGATGTATGACTTCCTCCACCAGTTTTTATATTTTTTCCAATTCCAACTCGGCTTGTTAGATATCCCACGTCGTAACAGTAACAACAATCATTGTCCTTACACATTTAAACGAAAAACAGAAAAAAACCCCACTCACGGCAATTCAAGGACGCCCTCCACTCGCCGAGGCTCACGCCGCTGCCCAGGCATGTGTCGAAGTACCCCTGCAGGTGGGAGCAGCGCAGCTCATCGCTGAGCGCTGTGAGCGCCAGGTCGAACACGCAGTTGCTGTGGAAGGGCTCGGGCGGCACAGCGTTGAAGCACGCGGCGAACGGTGACGTCGCGCTCTTGAGGGGACTGCACGGCCCGGCGGCACTGTCCAAGTCGGCATTGTTTGGCTTCACCATTCGGCCGTAGTCGAACCCGCAGCTGTGGTGGTGGTGGGGAGAGCAAAAGCACTTCACCATCATCATCATCATCAAGTTGAGTTGCTGCTGGCCAGGAGCTGCCCTGGTTAAGGTCAAGGGGTAGGGACAATGCTACAGTTAGGGTTACGTGGAGGGTTCCAACGGCGGAGACGACTCACGCCGAGTTGTTGCTGGCAACCGGGAACTGCCAGGAGCTGCCGAAGGTGTAGGCGGTGGCGTGCAGCTCCCCATCGGGCCCCACGAAGTCGTCGCCCGGGTCGCCATTGAAGTCGCCGCAGAGGCCGCTGAGGTTGCGCGCGTAGTACGCCTGGAGGCGCAGGTCCACGTAGCTGTAGCCGTCGTACTTGACGGTGAGCCCCGCCGCCGGGAAGGAGAGCACCGCAAACTTTCCGGCCCTCACCACCGTGCCGTTGGGCAGGCCCACGGGGAGGCTCACACTCTCGTCGTTCACCTGCGTTTCGCCAGACGGAGAAGCGAAACGACGGACTCGTTCCGATTTCGTCTCGCGACTCACAGCCGCCACCGCACCGTATCCACTTGCTCTCGGAGAGGGAGAGAGGGTGACTCGAGAGACAGTGACAGCAGCAGCCACGCGGTGCGGAGCCAGTGCATCAACAATTTCCCAAGCTCTGCACTCCACTATAGATGGAGTGGGAAGAAACCGGAGCGCCGGGAGAAATCCCGCAAGTACGAGTGAGGGTGAAACACTCTATCTCCATGCAGACAGACCAAGTGGAGTCAACATCTTTACTGAGTTCTGCCTTCTAGCTGGCAAAACAAGGGGGTACGGCTCCTCATCGACACCCACCCATGAGTAGAAGGCAGTGAGATGGAACGTATGGAGATTAGACTACACACTTTGCTGCTGTGCCACTTTCTAGCTGGCAGAGCCAGGGGGTATAGGCTCCTCCTCGACGCACCACTCACAAAAATATAGTTTCACAGAACAATCTGCGTGTGATTCACCAACTCGCGCTGTTGCTGCCTCCGCCTCCACAGCGCTAGGCAACAGCCTGCCACGTGCAGCGGCTTAGCCATGCCCATGCCCTCCACTCTTCCCCCATGCCACCCCCCCTCCCCCTGACAACTCACTCCCCCACCGCCCCAACTCTCAACTCACCAGGACGGCGCCACCGAACTGCAGCTTGACGTTGACGTCGCGGTCGAGCCGCACCTCGACGGTGCGCGTGTACGCCACGGCCGTGGAGCCGTACCGGTGCTCGTTCTGCACAAGGACGTGCCACGCCGCCGGGTGCGAGCCCTTGTAGCTGGGGCTCGGCGCTGCCAGCATGTAGGTGCACGTGCCCATGAAGTCGAAGTACTTGCCATCGAAGGTGGTGTAGTGCGGGTCGCCCGACGCGTGGCAGTGCTCTTTAGGCGTGGCGGGGGGGGGGATGGCCACCACGTGGAGAAGGGAAAGAAGAGAGATAGTGAGATGTGTCCGACAGCCGCCAACCTGCCCACCCACCCACTCGTCCACCCAACCACCAAACCAACAGCACACCCAACCACCCAACCACCTACCCAACCTCCAAACCCAACCACCCACCCACTCACCCATCCACCCACCAAACCACCTGCCCACTCACCCAACCACCCACCCAACCACCTGCCTACTCACCCAACCTCCAAACCCAACCACCCACCCACTCACCCATCCAACCACCTGTCCACTCGCCCAACCTCCAAACCCAACCACCCACCCACCCACTCACCCAACCACCCGCCCACTCATGCACCCACCTATTCACCCACCCAATTACCAAACCCACCAACCCACCAAACCCGACCCAGGGTATGGCCCCTCCCTGACGACCACCCATGGGAAGGGACTTTCACGCAAACAACTCTCCGCGTGCGATCCAACAACCTCTGGTGCCGCTGCCGATGCCTCACAGTGCTGGCTTACGGGCTGCCGCGTGCGGCGTAGCCATCACCGCCACCCGGCACCGAGTGGTCATCGTGTGGCGCGCCTGTTGCTAAGGTTTCTGTCTTTGACTGCGGACGTATCCACGGGAGTGGTGGAAAGCCTCCTCATCCTTGCCCATGGGATGTTGCAGATGGTGGGGGTCTGGGCCTGTGGCTTTCACTTGGCTATCCGGAACAACCGTCTCCATCAGCCAGGGTTCTCTGGGGAAGTCTGGCGTATGCGGCCATTGCAGCTGCGTGAGCCACAGTCCTGAAACTCGCCCATTTCCCCTCGGCATCGAGACGAGAAAGAGGATGATGCCAACGCCCATCCTCTCTGACGCGGGATGCTGTAGACGGTGGGAGTGGGCCTGTCGCTTTTTCTCAGCTAGCCGGAACACCTCCTCCATCAGCCAGGGTCTCTGGGGACGTCTGGACCGTGTATCCAAAGCAGCCATAGCAGCTGCATGAGCTACAGTCCTAAACCTCGCCCATTTCCACTCGGCATCGAGACGAGAAAGAGGACGATGCCAACCCCCATTCTCTCTGACGCGGGATGCTGTAGACGGTGGAAGTGGGCCTGTCGCTTTTTCTCAGCCAGCCAGAACACCTCTTCCGTCACCCGGGGTCTCCTGGCCGGCTTAGACCGTGCACCCAAAGCAGCCATTGCAGTTGCATGAGCCACAGTCCTAAACCTCCCTGGTTTCCCCCTCGGCAGTAGGAGGAGGTGGGGACGATGCCAGCCCCAGCTGCAAGCGATGATGACATTTCCAATTTTCAACTGAGACCATTGGAACTGGGTTCGAATGGGGTCCTAGGTGGACAGCCACCATCGCAATGGGAGATTTTCAGGCGCATCAATACAGACCCCCTGCTACACGAAAGGCCTTCGACACTTCACGTGGCCTCAAAGTGCACCCAGCGTGGCACGAGCGCCGCGGTTGACGACGTCGCCACCACTTAATGGCGACAGGTGGCTGCTGCTGCTGTCGTTGGTGTTGTCGTTTGGAGCGGCGGTGCAACCCGCGACAGCCGCCGCGCCCCGTCACGCCGCCCCGTCACCCCCCTCCCGCCCCAGGGCCGGGCCTCACTCGCGTTGGCTTGGCAGCCGGCCTTGCCCCCCTCCAGCACGGCGCAGGTGTGGAACTCCGGGCACGTGAACGCCTGGCAGTCGATGCCCCCCGCGTCGCACAGGCACGAGCTCGTGCAGTCGTCTGAGATGAACGTGTCGCCAACCTGCAGCGAATCAGGAACGGGGTCATCTTTAGTTCGTGAAGGGGGGGGGTGGGTGTTTGTGGGGCAAAAGTTTTCAATGAAGATGATAATGAACCTTGTTTTTTTTTTACGATTTTTTAGCGTACTATTAGATCGCTTTGAAACTACTCCAAACATTCGGTATTTTCCCGCAAAAACTTTAATGTGTTGACGACTTTTATTCAACTTCTTCTATTTAAAGACGTACCCATCACGGTAAGCCGCTCGATTTAAAGATCCCGTTCTTTTTTGTTATTCGAAAGCACAAACATTAATTCACTTAATAGTCTATGAGGGGAAGCTGTCCTCTACCGTGTACCGTTTTCAAATTATTCAGATGTGAACATCATAAAATGCCGATGTTTCATTCAAAACCGATTGAATCCTAAATATCTCAAACACCATAAAAGATGGAACCCCAAAACTTTCTCGCTTTCATTTAATTTGCTGTTTAAGGCTCTATCAACCGAAAAAAATCGCACTGTTATATTTCGAACGGTTTCTGAATGACACCATGCACACAAACATGTTTACGAGGAACTTAAACATTGAGGTTTGGGGGCCTTAAAATAAAAAATATGACATTTTCAGGGTTTTCCTGTTTGTAGCCTAAAGCTACATATATACAGAATGTCGGTTTTCTACCTTGTCGGGAAGTGCCCGAAAGGTTTTTGAAACATACACATTAAGGTCTTTGTTTAGATAGAAGATTGTTATCAGGTTTAAGGCTCCACTGAGCTATGTATCTGGTTTCTTTCGGAAGTGACCCTCGCTATCACAAACGATAGCAGATCATAATAATAGGTTTTTACCCTTCCAACTGGTACAAAGACTGACACCTTTATACAAGGCATCATGTTTGCAATAACCACAACACAAGCAGTCAAAATGCAAACAAAAAGAAACAACTCTGATGATGATAATGATATGCACTGTCCTTGAAGTTGATTGGTCCACACCCGAGACAGCTTTTCTTAGAGTCTAGTCTCCATTGGTGTTGGACCAGATGACGCCAAAAGGCGTACAACTCAAAGACAGCGCACTATCAGAGTATTGAGAGCTCGGGGTAAGCATTTACACTATGTTTGCATTTGACTGCTTGTGTTGTGGTTATTGCAAACATTATGCCTTGTATAAAGGTGTCAGTTTTTGTACCAGTTGAAAGGGTAAAAACCTATTACTATATTTTGCCACTGGTAAAGGAGGTCTCATATTGTGATATCAGATCAACCAAGTGACTGATATCATTATCACCTGGAAATTTATAGTAGCCGCCAAATACTCTAAATGCGCTGTGATGTTGATTCCAAACATGGAGGGAAAAACCCGTAGGAGCTGGAGACATATCCGCACAGTGACCATGGGGAGAGAGACATGTAAACTCCAAATATACAGCAGCAGGCGTCATTGTCAGGATAGAACCCACGGCCTCCTGCATACCAGACGAGGTAGTCAACATCTCCAAGTGACCGTGATGATGATGATGAGAGAGAGAGAGAGATGCAGAATCCAAATATACAGCAGCAGCAGGCATCGTCAGGGTTGGGATCAAACCAACGGCTTCCTGCATACCAGGAGAGGTAGTTGACATCTCCTAGCCACCATGATGGTGATGTACGGTGTGAAAGAAGTTCCACATACAATACATGACCTCATGGTACAACAACAACAACCCACAGTGGGGAGTGCATCACCTTGTAGTACTTGTTCTTGTAGAGGCAGCCGCACTGGTCGGCCAGCACGCAGGCATCGTCCTCCAGGACGTAGCCGATGTCGCAGACGCAGCCCTCGACGCAGTCTCCCTGGCACTGGCCCTCGACGGCGCCGTCCACGCACGACACGGGGCACGGCGGAGCGCAATACGAGTAGTGGCTGTTGGCGGGGCACTGCGGGGCTGCTGTGGGCGGCAGCAAATGGAGACGCGGGGCGGCAGAGGTGTCACACGTGCGGCCTCACGGGGACGACTGACCAGGTGAATGGGTGGGTGAGTGGGTGACCGGGTGGGTGAGTGGGTGACTGGGTGGGTGACCGGTGGGTGAGTGGGTGACTGGGTGTGTGAGTGGGTGGGTGACTGGCTGGGTGACCGGCTGGGTGACCGGGTGGGTGACCGGGTAAATGGGTGGGCAAGTGGGTGACTGGGTGGGTGACCGGGTGGGTGACCGGGTAAATGGGTGACGAGTGGGTGACTGGGTGGGTGACTGGGTGGGTGACTAGGTGGGTGACCGGGTAAATGGGTGGGCGAGTGGGTGACTGGGTGGGTGACTGGGTGGGTGACTGGGTGGGTGACCGGATAAATGGGTGGGTGAGTGGGAGTGGGCGAGTGACACGGTGAATGGGTGGGTGAGGGAGTGGGTGAATGAGTGGGTGAATGGGCGAATGAGTGGGGTGAGTGAGTAGGTGAGTGAATGGGTGGGTGGATCGATGAATGAGTGGGTGAGTATTTGAATGAGTGACCGGGTAAATGGGTGGGTGAGTGGGCTGGGCGGGTGACTCGGTGAATGGGTGGGTGAGTGAAGGGAAGGGTGAATGAGTGAGTGAGTGGAAGGATGAATGAATGGGTGAGTGGCTGGGTGAATGGGTGGGCGAATGATAGAAAGTGATGAGACAATGGAAATGAGAGCGACAAAACCGTTGCCCGCGAAATTCGCCAAATCACGAGCACCTCTGGAACGTATCCCTGGTGGCGAATACCGACGGGAAAACACCGCACATCTGGGAGGGGATGGTCAGTGGGGGGTGGGTGGGGTTTGTGGTTTCCGCCCACAATCCCTGATCGAATGATCAGGGATGCCACCACCGCCACCGCCGGCCCACCGCCGGACTGGGCACCGCGTCGGGGGCCGCGACACTCACGGCAGACGGTGGAGCTCCTCCACTCCTGGGTGGCCACTCCGGCCTTGACGCAGGCGGCAAAGTACGCCTCCAGCGCCTTGCAGTGGACGACCGGGTCGAACTGCAGCAGCACCAGGTCGAAGACGCAGTTGGCGAAGAACGGCTCGGGGTCGACGGACGCCTGGCAGCTGGCGAAGGCGCCCAGCGGGTCCTTGAGGATGCCGCACCAGGTCGGCTGGGCCGCCACGCCGGAGCCCACTGGGTCAATGACCACGGGGTGGCCGATGTCGTCGAAGCCCCTGTCGGCGGAGGAGAGGAGCGGGGGGGGGGGGGGGGGCGTGAGGTTAAATGGATGAACACTCGGCAAGGGAAATAGATGCAGGCGATGAGGATATGTCCCCCAAATGCTCGGAACCAGGTTATGCGTTTTTTTTTTATATCAATATTTTTCACGTTTCTTTCACACTGTCCATAGACTCAACACTGCCCATAGACTCAACACTAACCAGAGACTCACAACTCTACCATAGATTCAACATTGCACCACAGACTCAACACTGCACCACAGACTCAACACTGACACCACAGACTCAACACTGCACCACAGACTCAACACTGACACCACAGACTCAACACTGCACCACAGACTCAACACTCCCCCACCTCCTCCACGGCACTCACGTGTCCACGATGCCCGGCTCCTCCACCTTCCAGCTGTTGCCAAAGTCGGTGGCGCCGGATGCCTGCGAGCCGTCCCGGCGCGTGAAGTCGTCAGCGCTGGCGCCGTTCATGTTGCCACAAAGGCCGCAGAGCGACGACGCGAAGGTGGTGGGCAGCTTGACCCTGGCGTGGTAGTTCCCCTCGTAGAGGACCTCGAGGCCGAAGTCGGACGCCACGCGCATGAAGCCCCCGTCGCGCGTCACCGAGAAACCTCCTGCGCCACCGGCGACGCCGCCGCCGCCGTAGTAGAACGGCAGGCGAAGATGGACGTCGTTCAGCTGCGGTCGGGGGGAGCGGGGGGGGGGGGGCGGAACGAGGCGGCGGTGGTGGACCGGGAGGAGGTGGACGATGGAGGGGGATGGAGGGGAGGTGGACGGTGGGGGAAGGAGCAGGACGGAGGGTGGGAGGAGGAGGAGGATGATGATGAGGTTAGGGAGGAAGATAGGGAGGAGGAAGAAGATGAGGAGGAGGAGGATGGGGAGGAGGAGGTAGTGGAGGAAGAGAATGGGGAAGAGGAGGAGGATGGGGAGGTGGATAGGGAGGAGGAGGGAGGAGGAGGATGGGGATGGGGAGCAGAAGGATGGGAAGGGAGACGATGGAGGGAAGAGGATGGGGAGGAGGAGGAGGATGGGAAGGTGGATAGGGAAGAGGATGGGGAGGAGGATGAGGGCGGGGGGGGGGGGGCGGACAGGACGTGAGTACGTGACCTGTGGCTCAACCACCTCAGCGTGAACTCACCGCCGCTGCTCGACATCAACATCGGCAGCCAGATGGATACGAAGCGAGAAAGGGGGTGGGAGGTTGGACGGCTGTGCCTCTTTGGGGTGCGGGGGGGGGGCGGTGCGGCGAGCGATACTCACGTAGACGTGGGAGCCAACAGCGAGCAGCACCCGCTGGCCGTACAGCTCGACGGTGACCTCGCGCGTGTACGCCACGACCCAGCTGCCCGCACGGTGCTCGTTCTTCACCTTCACGCTCCAGTCGGCGCCCGAGCACGGCTGCAAAAGAAAGAGGGCAGATGCAAACGAGCCCCGTTGGGGCCTTCAGCAGACCGCTGAGGTCGTCGTGCCGTTGGCCGAGAGCGGAAATCAAAAGTTTGTCGCTTGCGCACAATCGCTTCCACGCCGTCACCCACCCTTTTGGCCCCGCCCCCCTCCCTCCCGATACGTTCCATTCATTGGCTACCACATTCTGATGAGCTCCCCCCCCCGTCTCCTCCCCCCTCAACTCGCTTTTAAGGGATTACATCTTGAATCATTGCCTCACTTGATGCAGCTAATCTGGCTGTGACGGTCCCACCTGATGACGGAGACTTGTGTTGCCTCCGAAACGTCGTGATCTTTATTTTATTTTTTATTAATTTTGATGTTTTACCTACGCGACTTTACCTGAAAAAACCTAAGAATATGGGAATCGAAAGCTCGGGTGGTGGCCGCGGTTTCTTGGGCGCAGCGCGCTAATCGCTGCGCCGCCGCTCCCCACGCACAACAAACACAAAGATCCCCCATATAGCCTTAACGGACTGTTGGGGCAAGTGCTGTTAGCGAGCGCCTATGAAGGCCGGCATCGTGGCACACGAGGGGGTGGGTGGCCAGCACCACGCTCGACCGCCTTTGTCCCCCCAGTGGCGATGTTAACGACTTCACACCGATAATTGGTTTTTTACCCTTCTATCTGGCGACAAAACTGACACCTTTTTTTTACAAGGAGTCATGTTTGCATAGACCACAATACCTGCAGCCATAATGCAAACAAAAAACATAACTCTGAAAATATATGCACTGTCCTTGAAGTTGATTGGTCCACACCCGAGACAGCTTTCCTTAGAGCCTAGTCTCACATGGTGTTGGACCAGATGACACCAAAAGGCGCACAACTCAAAGACAATGCACCATCAGAGTATGAGAGCTCGGGGTAAGCATTTACACCATTGGAACCTCATTTGCCAGTAAAAAATATGATAATTAGTTTTTTACCCTTCTATCTGGCACGTAGAAGGGAAGCAATAAAAGAATAAATAAAATAATAAATAAAATAATAAATAAATTGATAAAAATCCAACATAATAAAATACAATTTTCACGACGTTTCGGCCACAACGCAAGCACCCGTCCTCAGGTGAAGAACAGGTCTGTCGGAAAGAGGACTTTGTTTCTCACCTGCGTGAGCACGTACGTGTACGTGCCCTGGAAATCGAACTTGCGTTCGTCGAACGTCGTGTAGTGGGGGTCGCCCCACGCGGTGCACTCCACTGGAGAGACACAACGCGGCACGGGGCATCAGAGATCGACCGCGGTGTGCACGTGTGTGCGTACGTACGTAGCCAGCCGTGCTGGTCGGAGGTGCGGAGGGAAGGACAACAAACTAAACACAACGACAGGCAGACGAGTTTGTCAATCGAGATGATGATGATGATGATTTAAAGTTGCGTAGCTCAAGTGGCTTTCTAATATCAGAAGGAAGAGCTTTCCAGAAGCGCCGCTCGATGCGGTGACCGTCTTTGTCCGATTGTTAAACAAAAGCCGCTGCAAGGATGACCGGAGTTTGTGCTCTTTGACGAGATCAGCAAGGTCTGGCTGTAGTTACTCACTTATCTTGGCGTGACTATGGCTGTAGTTCCTCACTTATCTTGTGGTGACTATGGCTGTAGTTACTCACTTATCTTGGGGTAACTATGGCTGTAGTTACCCACATATCTTGGCGTGAATATGGCTGTAGTTACTCACTTATCTTGTGGTGACTATGGCTGTAGTTACTCACTTATCTTGGGGTAACTATGGCTGTAGTTACTCACTTTTCTTGGGGTAACTATGGCTGTAGTTACTCACTTATCTTGTGGTGACTATGGCTGTAGTTACTCACTTATCTTGTGGTAATTATGGCTGTAGTTACTCACTTATCTTGTGGTGACTATGGATGTAGTTACTCACTTGTGGTAATTATGGCTGTAGTTACTCACTTATCTTGTGGTGACTATGGCTGTAGTTACTCACTTATCTTGTGGTAACTATGGCTGTAGTTACTCACTTATCTTGGGGTAACTATGGCTGTAGTTACTCACTTATCTTGGGGTGACTATGGCTTTAGTTACTCAGTTATCTTGTGGTGACTATGGCTGTAGTTACTCACTTATCTTGTGATGACTATGGCTGTAGTTACTCACTTATCTCGTGGTGACTATGGCTGTAGTTACTCACTTATCTTGGGGTAACTATGGCTGTAGTTACTCACTTTTCTTGGGGTAACTATGGCTGTAGTTACTCACGTATCTTGTGGTGACTATGGCTGTAGTTACCCACTTATCTTGTGGTGACTATGGCTGTAGTTACCCACTTATCTTGTGGTAACTATGGCTGTAGTTACTCACTTATCTTGGCGTGACTATGGCTGTAGTTACTCACTTATCTTGTGGTGACTATGGCTGTAGTTACTCACGTATCTTGTGGTAACTATGGCTGTAGTTACTCACTTTTCTTGGGGTAACTATGGATGTGGTTACTCACGTATCTTGTGGTGACTATGGCTGTAGTTACCCACTTTTCTTGGGGTAACTATGGCTGTAGTTACTCACTTATCTTGTGGTAATTATGGCTGTAGTTACTCACTTATCTTGGGATAATTATGGCTGTAGTTACTCACTTATCTTGTGGTGACTATGGCTGTAGTTACCCACATATCTTGTGCTGACCATGGCTGTAGTTACTCACTTATCTTGTGGTGACTATGGCTGTAGTTATCCACATATCTTGTGGTGACCATGGCTGTAGTTACTCACTTATCTTGTGGTGACTATGGCTGTAGTTACTCACTTATCTTGTGGTAACTATGGCTGTAGTTTCTCACTTTTCTTGGGGTAACTATGGCTGTAGTTACTCACTTATCTTGTGGTGACCATGGCTGTAGTTACTCACTTATGTTGTGGTGACTATGGCTGTAGTTACTCACTTATCTTGTGGTGACTATGGCTGTAGTTACTCACTTATCTTGTGGTGACTATGGCTGTAGTTACCCACATATCTTGTGGTGACCATTGCTGTGGTCACTGACGTGTGTGTATGCTGTGGGCTGACCGTGGCTGCAGTGACTCACAGATCTTGGGCTGGCAGCCGTAGTCTCCCTGGGGCCCGGCGCCGCAGTAGTTCAGGGTCAGGTCACAAGGGTTCTTCTGGCACTGGATGTTGCCCGAGGACACGCACGTGCATTGAAGAGAGCAGCCGTTCTTCCAGAACACATCGGCCACCTAAACGGACACACGCACAAACAACAGAGCTCCAGTGTGAGGCCGCTGACCGCCTGACGACGCCGGTTGTGACTCCCGGCCACAACTTGCTCCGTACTCTTAGGTTTTTTCGGTAAAGTCACGTTGGTAAAACATGAAATTAAAAGTTAATAAAAGTAATAATGGAAATAAAATAAAATAATAAATCACGACGTTTCGGAGGCAACGCAAGTCTCCGTCATCAGGTGGGACCGTCACAGCTAAAATTACTGCATCAATTACTGCATCAAGATGCAGTAATTTTAGCTGTGACGGTCCCACCTGATGACGGAGACTTTGTGTTGCCTCCGAAACGTCGTGATTTATTATTTTATTTCCATTATTACTTTTATTAACTTTTAATTTTATTTTTTACCTACGTGACTTTACCGAAAAAACCTAAGAGTATGAATCCTTGCAATCACTAAAGCTTCAAATCTAGAACTTGCTCTGTACCCAATTGTTGTGTGTTTCGTGGACCGCTCTGCGACAACACACCAGCACGCTCCCCAATGTTACCAGTGCGCTCCGCAGAGCTACCGGAGGTTCGCAGCGCAGCACCAACCACTGCTCGGCCGCTCCTCCTCCACACAGCGATCCCCCGTGTAGCCTCTAACAAGGCTGATGGGGGCAAGTGCTGTTCGTAGCGAGAACCATCGCCGATGAAGGCCGGCACGGTGGCACCACCACGCCCACCCAGCCGTCTTTGACCTCCACACACACTCTCTGCTACCTCCTCTCCTTCTCATTTTACTCTACCCTCCTGCACACACGCTCTCTGCTTCAGAAACCAAGGCGTTCTGTCTAAGGTCAACGTTTGCTCATTCTCCGCTGCTGCCCCCATTGCCTGGAATTCCTTCCTTCCCGCCATCCGTGCCATCGGCTCCCTGCCCCTGTTCGAGTCCAAGATCAAGATCTTCCCAATTTTCAACGGCCTGTACACCGACCGCCTCTTTCTCTCTCTGTACAACAGGCCTCTTGCTTTCCCCACAGCGTCTTTGTGAGCGATGAGACGGCAGCCATTCCGTTGTTACCCCCAACCCGAGGTGGCAGGAGCTCGCCGCGCTCACCTTGTAGTACTTGCCGTCGTTGTCCTTGCAGCCGCACAGCGCCGGGGCGACGCACTCATCCCCGTTCCACACGTGGGTCGGGTCAAGGCACTCGCAGGTCTCGCCGCACGGGTCGGCGCAGTCCGCTGGGGCGCTGGGGTCGTAGCACGTGGCCGGGCACGCGTTGCCGCAGTCCTTGAAGGCCGCGCTCGCTCCGCAGTCCACGTCTTTGGCGGAAGACCGGATGGGGGCGGGGATGGAGGGACAGGGGGGGAATTGTCGGTAACGCCGTTTTCTTGGCTGCCCTTCCTGTATGCCTGTGGCTTCCCGTGCCCCTGAACCATTCCATACTCTCTCCCTCTCTCTCTCACTCTCTCCCCCTCTTGTATGTGTTGTACTTCTTTTGCACTGTACGTAGCCAACCGCACTCATCGGAGCTGTGGTGGACGGACAATAAGCTCAACGCAAGAAGCAGTTCTGCAGTAATAAGCTATAAATTCAGCAGACTTTAAAAGTGCAGGGCTCCAGCGGCTTCCTAATATCGTGACTGCCGCGAGTACGACCGGAGTTCACGTGATGGCTTCGTGCGTCTCTGACGAGATGAACAGTGAGGCGGCATCCTGCATCAATTGGGGCAAGCGCCTTGCATGCAATGAACGAGTGCGCGGGGGGGATGGGGGGGCAACGTACGGCACTTGGTGGTGTTCCTCCAGTCGGGCGCGAAGGTGACACCCTGGTCGTAGCAGAGCTTCACGTAAGTCTGCACCGCCTGGCAGAGCACGGCCACGTCCAGCTTGGCGAGCACGAGGTCGTAGACGCAGTCGGTGTAGTGCGGCGCCGGGTCAACGGTGCCGAAGCACGGGGCCAGGGGGCTCGCCGGGTCCTTGAGGAGGCCGCAGTTGTCATTGAAGCCTGCCTTGATCTGCCGCTGGGGGTCGAGGACGACGCCGACGGAGGCGCCCGTGTCGCTGCTCCCGCTGGATGGGGACACGGGGCGCAGTCAGCGACGCCCGATTATCGTCTTTGCTCCAGTGACGAGCTTCCGTTTCCTCCCTTAGAACGACCCCCATCCTTTCTTTCCTAGCCCGTCCTGCTGTTAGTGTTAGTCAATAATCCCCACCCCTCAGCTACGGCCAGGCCTACCCAACGCCAATCACTACCCCTATCACTACCACTTTCACTACCCCAACGCCTATCACTACCCCCATCACTACCCCTACCACTACTCCAACCCCTATCACCACATACTCTTATTTTTTTTCCCAAGTTCAACGCAAGAAGCAATTCTACAGTATCACCACCCCTATCACTACCTCAACCCCTATCACCACCCCTATCACTACCCCAACCCCTATCACCACCCCTATCACTACCCCAACCCCTATTACCACCCCTGTCACTACCCCAACCCCTATTACCACCCCTATCACTACCCCTGTCACTACCTCAACCCCTATCACCACTCCTATCACTACCCCTATCACTACCTAAACGCCTATCACTACCCCTACCCCAACCCCTATCACCACCCCTGTCACTACCCCAACCGCTATCAAGACTCTTATCACTACCCCTATCACTACCCCAACGCCTATCACTACTCCTACCACTACGGCAACCTCTATCATCACCTCTATAACCACCCCAACCCATATCACTACCTCTATAACTACCCAAACCCCTAACACCACGCCTATCACGACCCCAACCCCTATCGCCACGCCTATTACGACCCCAGCGGGGCTGGTACAGCAGGCAGGGTCACCGCGAGCCGGCGGGTCATAGCCGGGAGTCGATTTGAAGCCATCACTGATCCGGGCTCGATAGGACGGAGCAGGATTGTCGGTGGTGACCCTTGAAAGACGAAGGAGCAGGCAGGGGGGTGCAAGTCACCCGTCGTATGTTGTTGTGCACGAACGCAATTGTCGCTGCCCACGCGTCCGCCCGCCCACCCGCGTACCTTTCCGTGATCTTCTTTTCGGGCAGCTCCCAGCTGTTGCCGAACTCGGCCGCGGTGGCCGCCAGGGTGAGGTTGGGCGTCAGGAAGTCGTCGTTGGGGTCGTTGTTCCACGTCCCACACAGGCCGCACACGGAGTTGTAGTAGACGTCATAGTTGAGGAGGTGGACCTCCACGCGGCTGATTCCTGGATGGGTGGGGTGGGGGGGGGGGTGCCGGATTATCGAGCGGGCATCGTTTGTGCGAACGATTTGGTTATCCGCGCCCCCTGTCCAGACATCGATTTCCCCAGTAAAGCCCGTAGATTTGAGAGGCAATTCGGCCGGCAGACAACATCGAAGCATTCAACATCTGCACACCCGCTCACGCACTCGCTTACCCACCCACCCACACTCAACCCACTCACTCTCCCACTCACCCACACAAACAACAACAGCCATTCGCCACTAAATGGCGGTGACGTCACCGCGGCGCTTGTGCCACGCTATGTGCACGTTGAGGCCACGTGAAGTATCGAATGCCCGCTGGCAGAAGGTCACGGGGCTACTGGCCGATACACCACCTGTGCCCCCCTACTGTGCCAGGCTAGGTGCAGGAGGTCACGGGCACAGACCCTGCAGGTGCCACGGGTCGACTGACTGAGATGACTACTGGCCGATGCACCACCCTGTGCACCCCTACTGTGCCAACTCGGCCACTTTCACGCACATGCACGGGCACGAATCATCGTTCTACTTTACGCGTAACATCTGCATTTACTAGGGTCACAATCGGTGGTCATTCGTAACAACACGTGACGTTACGTTCACCAATGTGACATTCGCGACGCGAGCCACGTGTGCGGGTGGTCCACGTTTCACAAGTGTGCAGACACGATAGGGGCATCATTGTGGCCAAGCGGAGGCCCCAGGCTGTTTTTTTTTTCGTCGAGCGACTGAAGGCCCAGGGGCAGAGCTCCCACGGGGGCGTTGACTCGCGCGGCCAATCAAACGGCGGTGCCGCGACAACCGACCGCGAGCGAGACCTCCGCTGCCACCGAATAGGAGACGGTCACGAGCACACTGCGCAAAGCACAAGGAGGAAATCCTGCGCCCTTCTGGGGAGCGGTGGTGTAGCGGTTAGCGCTACGCTACGCTACGAGCCTGGCGACCTGGGTTAGATTCCCTCTGACGGCTAACACCGGTGACGGTTACCTGAACCGGTTCTGGGCCTCCCCTAGGTCGACTCAGCCTCAAATGAGTACCTGGTGCAGTGTGTAAAAATATCGCCACCGGTGAGACAAAGGTGGCCGGGCGTGGTGTTGGCCACCCACCCCCTCGTGTGCTGTGCCGGCCTTCATAGGTGCTTGCTAACAGCACTTGCCCCAACAGTCTGTTAAGGCTATACGGGGGTTCTTTGTCTTTTTTTTATATGGACACATATATGCCGAACATACCATTGTAGGAGACGCTGAGGAAGGCGTTGGTCCAGAGAAGGAAGTCGTTCTTGGACAGCGTGATCCGGAACCTCTCCGCCGGGTCGTAGTAGGGCACGTTGACGACGAGGCCATCGAGCTGCGCAGGAGGTCAACGACGACGGACGGGAAAAACAAAATGACGTGTCGAGGTCAAGACGGGGACGTCGCAAAGGCATCGGCCGTGTCACCCCGATCCTCGATTCCGACGATTGTGCGAGAGCGCATCTGATACCCACCGGTCTCCCACACCGGCGTCGTCACACCCGACCCTCAGTTCCGACAAATTTTGCGAGAGCGGATCCGATCTCTGCCGGTCTCCTGCAATCGGTGTCTATGCCTTAATGTAAGAAACGGAACAGTTTGACTTCTCCACAAATCTGGCTGTCGCTTGATGAAGCTGGTTGTAATTACTGGCAAAACGTCGCACTCAGACTGTAAATGTTGTGGCTTGGCTCTCCAACACACCGGTGTGCTGTTCTAGTATACTACACTATACACTACACTATACACTACACTCTACACTACACTACTATACACTACACTACGAAACACTACACTATACACTACTATACACTACTACACTATACACTACTATACACTACACTGTACACTACACTGTATACTATACACTACACTATACAGTACACTATACACTACACAATACATTACACTATACACTACTATAGAGTACACTATACACTCTACTATGCATTACACTATATACTACACTATGCACTACTATACACTACACTGCTATACACTACACTACTATACACTACACTATACACTACACTACACACGAGTGCTGTTCTAGTGATGAATTGACCACGTTCTGTTTACGTGACAACCCTCACGAGTCGGCTGTGTCTGGGTGGTGCCGGGTTCTAACGACTCATTTATATTCTTAAGCGATCTAACCCCAAAAAGACAAAAACCTCTATTATGGGCGGGGGTTGCCCTTTGCCCAGCCCCGCGACGAAAGAGAGCGCACATACCAGGACTTTGCGGTCGCGGATGAAGGAGATGGTGTGGTTGTAGATCTCGGTGTGCACCTCGCGCGTCCACGACACGTCGGCGCGCCGCCTGTGCTCGTTCTTGGCGAGGACGCGCCACGGCGTCGGCAGGTTAAAGATGCAGTTGGAGGCGAGGACGAAGGTGCGCGTGCCCATGAAGTTGAAGTGGTTGCCGTCGAAGGAGCGGTAGTGAGGGTCGCCCACACCGTGGCACCACGCTGCGGGCGGGTTGGGGACGGGGGGGGGGGGGTGGAGGGTCGGAGTCGCGAGCGAGTGAGCGTTGGTGCAGCGGTTAGCGCTCCACACCACCCCCCCCCCCTTGCCCACCCAAGCGGAGACCCGAGTTCGATTCCTGCTTGCGGCCACCCGCCGCTGATATTGGTGGTTCGGAAAAGGAAATAGGAAAGAGAAAAAAACACTCCGCGGGAGGAGGAAAGCTGGAAATTGGCCAGCAGAATGTTGAGACAGGGTGAGATGCGGACGACGTTTGGCTGGAGGTCGCGTCAACCGGCACCATCAAAAGCTGAGTCTTTTGTTCAACCCCTCTACCTTCATCCCCTCCTCCACCTAATCTTCCACCACCTCAGCCTCAGCCTCCACCTGCCTCTCTTCTTCTCTCCCCTCCTCCGCAATTTAAATCTCTCTCCATCTTCATCCCCTCAATCCTCCTCCTCTCCTTCATCCCCACCCCCCTCCCCCTTCTTCCCCTCCTCCTCCCCCTCCACACCCTCCACCACCTCCTCCTTGCTCCTCCTCCATCCTCCCTAGTCCACCCCCCCCCCACCACCCCCACCACCCCCACCAACCCCCTTCCCGCTCACCGTAGACCTTCTTCTGCAGCCGGAAGCGCCAGTCCTTCTTGACGCGCGCGTTCGTGTTGGTGACGGCCACGCCGCCGACGACGCCCCTCATGGCGCCCTCGTCCACCGTGATGTAGTGCTCCACGCCTCCGTTGAAGACCGACGCCGGGGTCGTGAACTGCGCCTGGGTGTTGCCCGACAGCAGCGTGGCGCTCGTCCCGTCCACCTTGAAGACCTCGTGGTCGCCCCGCACCTCGAAGAAGCGGAAGAAGGCGCCGCTCGCCGATGGAAGGGCGACCTGCGTGGACCGAACCGACAAGGGGTTGGTTAACCGATCGGCGTCGCCTATCGCGCTCCGGTGATGCGCTCATCGACAGTGCGGACGCGGGGCGACGCCCGGCTGGAGGTCGCGACCCATCCCGTCGGCCTTCCCCACCGAGAATCGTGATGAGCCGGGGGGGGGGGGGGGGGGGGTCATCGGCGAGCAAGACAACAATGACGACAAGGACGACGACATAAAAGTTCCGGAGACGGTGACAATGAGCGGATACTCTGCGTTGTGTGTTTCTGCGCTCCCGAGGAGTGGGCCACTCCGCTGCGGACGGGCACCGGAGGGTTTGTGAAACGGCAACGCCAACGCTTCGTTGTTGCCTAAAGGGGGAAAGGTCCCAGATTGAAGCTGCTCAACCCGAGCTCTCAATGTCCTGATCGTGGCATTGTCCTTGTGCTGTTCGCCCTTCGGCCTTGTCCTCTGGTCTAACGCTGTGTGAGACTAGGCTCTAAACAAAGCTGTCTCTGGTGTGGACCAATCAGTTTCAAAGACAATGCATCATATACTACCAGAGCCATGTTTTTTTCTTTGCATGTAGGCTCCGCTACTCGCTAACGCAGGGGTGGGTAACGTCCGGCCCACGGGCCATACAAGGCCCGCGAAATCATTTGAGTCTGGCCCTGCCAAGGCAACCACAGGCGGGACTCGAAATTCAACAAATCTAGGAGCAAACCTGGAAAAGGAGTTGCGAGTAGCAGCAACATCATCATCACCAGCAGCTCACATCACCACGCCTCGCCAAAGAGAAGCAGTTCCAGCCATCGCATTAGGGGTGAGTTAATTAAATGTTTGACCAAATATAACGGGTTAATTTTTAAGTTGATAATTTAGTATGGCCCACGAATGATGTTATATAAATATCCAAATGGCCCTTGGCAGAAAAAAGGTTCCCCGCCCCTGCGCTAACGGCACTTGCGCCAACAAGTCTGTTACAATCTAGATTTGAAGTTTTCGTGACTGCAGGGATCCATACTCTTTGGTTCCTTCGGTAAAGTCACGTAGGTATAAAAAAACATTAAATCACGAATGTTTCGGGCGCAACACAAGCGTCCATCATCAGGTGGGACAACCACAGCAAGAAACAATTGCTGAAGTGGGCAAAAGGGCTGCTGTAACAAGAGGCTATATAGGTGTAGGGCTGTTACAGAGGGGCTGTTTGTGTAGGGCTGTTTGCATAGGGGCTAACGGATAACAAACACAGTGGGCGGGGACTCCGTGAGCACACGGGGTGGTGCCCGCAACGACGTCCGTACTGGACGGCGTGAGTTGGGTTTCGATCCTCTAGGGGGGTATAAAAAGGGTTGAGCCAGAGAGCTCGGGGCTCAGTCTTAGTGTAGTTAAGGGAAGAGAGAAGACCAGCCAGATAGGCCCTGGACTCCCCCTGGGACGCCGCCCTTGTAAGGGCAGTGCAGGCTGGAGCCAGTGGCGTGGTCCCGGAACCAGAGTCAGACCTCTGGATTCCGGGTACCGTAGCCCGACTAACCAGTGTCGGGCCAGACAGCCTCCCCTAGCCCGTTAGCGGAGGACTCAGCTAGGAAGGCTAGCTAGGGGTGAATTCCCAGTTGTACGGGTGAGGGGGCCGATACATCCCTCCAGTATTGTAAAGACATTGTGCAAATAAATACGTGTGCCTTACCCCGTTGTCCACGCGTCTTCAAGAACACTTCATCTGGCGTCAGAAGAACCAAGAACATGGACACGCGCCAAACAGCTCGAGCCAGGGAACAGCAAACGGAAGACGTCCGCCGAAATTGTCGAGCCCGAGATGGCTCAACAAGACGACGTGCAGCCGGGGCCGGACGCGTTCTTGCCGGAGCATCGCCATGGAGAGGAGCAGCGGACAGACCACCTGAGGCTGGCTCACGAGAGGCTGGCGGAACTGCTCTACGCCGCTGCCGCTACGCTGGAGAACATCACACGGCTGGGTGCTGGTGGTCCACCGCGGGGCGAGGGGAACCGGCGTCCGGAGCGCCTTCCCGCCATTTCTGAAGATTCGAATTTTGAATTTCCCGCCATCGACGCGGCGACCGCTAGGGGCGTGGCCAACCTCAACCTGGGGTCCGACATCGGCCGCGCTGGGGCTGCCGCATCAACGACGGAGGAGGGCGCGTCATCAAAGCTGCGACAGGCGATGCCATCTGCCGTTCGCGCCGAGACGCAGCCGGGTCGGGGAGACAGCAGCCCAGAGGACTCCACGGCAACTGCTGCGCTGCATCAAAGGCTGCCCCCGCTTAAAGAATTCGTGGGCGCAGAGGGCGACTGGAGCGGCTTCCGAAGACGCTTCCTCGCCCACCAAGAAATGGCTAAATGGACAGACGCAGAAGCTCTCAACGCCCTGCCGGCGCTCCTGGACGGCGACGCGCTTGCCGCTCTAACATCGGCACCGAAGGAAAGGCGCTCTACGTTACCAATGGCGCTGCAGCTGCTGGGAGGGGTCTACGGACCATCGGCGGAATGTAGACAGGAGTTCTACGACCGCAAGCGGGGAGAAAAGGAGTCGCCCCTGGCGTACCGAACGAGCCTCCTGGCGTTGGCCAAGTCGGCCTTCCCCCGTATGGATGACGACGGCATCGACGCTATGGTGACGGAGAAAATACTCCTCCTGGCTGACGATCTTGACATCGCTGTCGTCGCACAGGAGGACGCGGAAATGACATCGCTCCAGGCGGCGCGGCTCCTCCACGCAAACCTCCTGTCGCTCCGGCGAAAAGCCAGCAGGGCATCGGCGGGGCGTGCGGTGGCTGCAGCCACCCTTCCGACGGAGGAACTCTACGCCGTCGACCACCGACGGCAACAGGCGACGAGTGCACGGCCGGGCCAGGACGGGTCGGGCCGTTCCGACCATTCGTCACCTCCGACGTCGCTCCCGCGGTGTTTTAACTGCGGCGTCCGGGGCCACGTCGCCTCGGGGTGCCGCTCTCCTCGTCAGCGCGGGACGACACCTCACCGGGACGACGGGCCTCATCCCAAGCTCCACCATCAAAAACCGGCGAGTCGCGGCACCCCACACGTTTGGCCCACACACACACCCGTCACGCACTCAAACACCGCGACGAGAGGGGGGCCGGTATCACGCACCATCGCACCATCACGCACCACTCCGGGTACCCATATCGAACCCGGCCAGTGGTCCGTGCTGGCCGATCGTGTGGTTGCCGCATCGTCGGGATCGTCGGCCGTTGTGGGGTACATCGACGGGGTTGAAGTGCGCATCCTGGTCGATACGGGAGGATCGGCGACTATTATTTCGGAATTAATTTATAATATTCTCCCCGTCCGGAGTCGTCCCTTGATGCCAGTTAACATACCATTCTATGCGGCTAACGGGGGCTCACTTGGCATCATCGGACAAATTCGTGCCCAAATTTGCATCGGGGAAATAAAATTGTCTGGGCCGATTTTTGTTTCTTCCTCGCTGGCGGTTCCGTGCCTGCTGGGGACGGACTTCCTGGCCAAAATGCCGATTGTAATTTTGATCGACCAGGGGTGCATAGAGCTTCCATCGGGCAGACGCATGGCGTTTCTGCCATCGCCGGTTGCGACTCGGACGGCGTTTGCGACGGTGCCGGCGCTCGTGGAAAGAACGGTACGCGTTCCTCCGGGGACGCAAATGCTGGTACCCTTGAAACTTCGGCGGCCCCTCGTTAAGGGTGCTGGGGCACAAGGGGTACTGTTGGGACCGTCTAGGGCGGGGTTAGTGGACCTGACTTACTACCGGCCCAGACCATAGTGAGAGGGGATGGTGAACCCTTCATCGCGGTCCTTAATGTGGGCTCGCGGACGGTGGTGATCCCACAGGGGACCGTGCTTGCTCACGCAACACCGGTGCCGTGTGAGGAACCCGCCGTAAATTGCGTCAACACTGTCCCTGCGTCGCGACCGCATTCGGACAGCGATGAAGGGTGGCTCGAGGCGCTTTGTGCGGGATCGACGGACCTGTCCGATTCAGAGCGTCAACAACTTAAAACATTACTGCGAGAATTTTCCGACGTTTTTAGTCGAAATAAATATGATTTGGGTTGCACTCACTTGCTGCGTCACCATATTGACACGGGTGACAGCGCGCCAATTCGCCAAAATCCGTTTCGGTTGAGTCCCGCCGAAAAGGACCATGTCAAATCGGCTGTTGATGACATGTTGGCCGCGGACATTATTTCTCCTTCCACCAGCCCTTGGGGAGCGCCGATCGTCCTGGTTAAAAAGCAGGACGGTTCGTTGCGGTTTTGCGTTGACTTCCGGCGTCTTAATAAAATTTCGGTTGCCGACGCATACCCGCTCCCTCGGATGGATGAATCGCTTGACGCCTTGGCGGGAGCGCGATTCTTTTCCACACTCGATTTACTTTCGGGATTCTGGCAGCTTCCTCTGGATGATGAGTCAAAGCCTAAAACTGCTTTTCGTACACCGCACGGCTTGTTTCAATTCAACCGGTTGCCGATGGGCTTACACTCAGCGCCGGCAACTTTCCAGCGCTTAATGGAATTGGTTTTGGCTGGACTGCAATGGGAGTCGTGCCTCATTTATTTGGATGACGTTATCGTCTTTGGAAAAACCTTTGATGAACATCTCCAGAGGTTGCGGGCGGTTTTCCTAAAGATGCGGGCTGCTAATTTGAAATTCAAGCCCCAAAAATGCCATTTGTTGCGTGATTCGGTGCATTATTTGGGGCACATCGTGGGACGCTCAGGTATTGCTACCGATCCCGCCAAAACGCAGTGTGTCAGCTCCTGGCCGACTCCCACCTCGGTGGGAGAGGTCAGGAGTTTCATTGGGTTCGCGTCGTATTATCGACGGTTTGTTGCTGATTTTGCGACAATTGCTAAACCCCTGCACGCTTTAACATCTAAAGGGGTTCGGTTCCACTGGGGTCAAGAGGAGGAGGCTGCGTTCCGCTCCCTTCGGGACGCCCTGGTGAAAGCCCCTCCCTTGATCTACCCTGATTTTTCGAAGCCCTTTTTGCTCGACACCGATGCGAGCAACACGGGTATTGGGGGTGTGCTTTCCCAGGTGGTTGATGGCGTTGAACGGGTGGTCGCATACGGTAGTCGGGTGTTGTCTCCTGCGGAGCAGAGATATTGTGTCACCCGTAGAGAACTGTTGGCAATTGTTTTTTTCATCCAACAGTATCGCCCATATCTGTACGGTCGGCATTTCACCGTCCGCACAGATCATGCGGCACTACAGTATGCCCTGCGGGTTCAACAACCATCGGGACAGTTGTCTCGATGGTTGGAGGTCCTCCAGGATTTTGATTTTGAGACCACTTACCGTAAGGGCGTTCGCCATACCAACGCGGACGCTCTGTCACGCATGCCAACCACCTCGGAATGTGCATGCCTCCTGGGGTCGGGACGTTGCAGACCTTCAGGGGACGCATCGGTTCCGATCCTGGCAGCCACCGACGACGACGAACCACTGCCTGATAATTCGATCGAACAACAGGGAAGGGATTCCCTGTTGGGGTTGCCCGTCACTGAGTGGGGGCGCCTCCAAATGGAGGATACCTCCCTCCTCGGGTGGCGTCGTCGCGTCGGGGGTGCCGGCCGGGTGAAAGGTGATTCGGGTGCATGGGAAATGGTACAGGGTCTGCTCATGCATTGGGACGCGAAATCGCAGCGACATCGGCTGGTCGTCCCTTCGGAGTTGCGAGGCAAAGTGGTGTGGGCCGCGCATGAGCGCCTGTTACATCTGGGGACTCTAAAGACCCTTGCACTGATACAACTAGATTTTTTTTGGCCTGGTATGACGAAGGATGTTGGGGATCTTTTGAATTCATGCCCGCGGTGTGCGCAACGGAAACCGCCGGCACGGGAGTCTAACCCGCCTTTACAATCAATCAAGGTGTCCAGAATAAATGAGCTTGTCGCGCTGGACATCTTGGGCCCATTTCCCGCCACCCCCAGGGGCAATAGGTATTTGCTGACAGGAGTCGAGTATTTTACGCGCTGGCCCATGGCCTGGCCCCTTGCCAACCAGTCGGCAGCAGCCATCGTGGACGCCTTTGTTCAGGGATACGTCCTGGACAAAGGTGCTCCGGAACGGCTGCTGACCGACCAGGGTAGAAATTGCTTAAACAAGTCTGTGACCTCTTAGGCACAAAGAAAATTCGGACCTCCCCGTATCACCCACAGACAGACGGAATGGTCGAGCGCCTGCATCGCACCATTTCGTCTATGATGGCACAGCAGGTCTCAGATTCTCAGACTGATTGGGACCTGCATATTCAGGGGGTCTTGGCGGCATACCGGATGGCACCCCATGCAGCTACGGGATTTTCCCCCTTTTTCCTTATGTACGGTCGCGAACCCGACCCGCCTGTTCGCGCCCAGCTGCAGATCCCCGACCCGCAAGGAAAAACTAAATTGGCTGACCACGTCAAATTTAATCTGGCTAAATTAACAGAGGCGCGGGATGCTGCGAGGTTGAACTCGGACCTCCGTCAAAAGGCGAACGAGCGCCTCAGGCTGGGTCGGGCGCATGTAATACAGTGGAAACCGGGGGACAGGGCATGGTTGCACTGTCCCCAAGTACCCCTGGCCACCTCCCCTAAGCTGGCGCGGCCGTGGCGGGGCCCTGTGGAAGTGGTCGAGGTCTTGCGACCACAGTGCGTGCGCATTCGTTGGGGGAAGCGGCGATGGTTCGTGCACCCCTCTCGGTTGAAACCTTTCGTCGCGGTACACAAACCCACTTCACACATGCGTGGCCAGACGTGTGGGGGGTCGACCGACTCACTAGCTCCGTCTCCACCGCGCTCACCTAATGCCTTGCCGGCCGTGCCACCTCCAGGTGCATCGGGACTGACGAGCCCGCACCCACCTGCTGCTGCAAGGGACGCCGCGGTTCCCGCGACGTCAGACGCGGACTCTATACAAAACGAACAACCGCCACCGGCGGGTTCGCCACCCGGGATTGCCCCGTGTGACGGGCCTGCAGCAAGGACACGCGCAAAAATGCGCAGACTCTTATAGCGCATTGGACGAACATTTTTTTTCTTCTTCTCTCTTACGTACGGTTGCGTGGTGCTGCGTCGGTGGGGAGCTCCTAGCACATTTTTTTTTTGTGTTGTGTTGCATGTGTGTTGCGAGTTCCCTGCTTAACCTGTATATATGCGTCACTCTTACGGTATTCGTATTTATTCAGGGGGGGTGCGTCGGATTGTTCCCTTCGGGGTTGTGGGTTTTGTTGTTGTCATTGTTGTTGTTGTTGTCGTTGTTGCTGTTGGTTCCTTCATGTTAGCGTTAAAAACGTTTTTTAAGGCACACGCGGGTATCCAGGGGTTAAACAGCCTTTATTAAAGTTGTTGCAGCCGGGACGGCTGCGAGCTGTACAGGGGGGGGTGATGTAGGGCTGTTACAGAGGGGCTGTTTGTGTAGGGCTGTTTGCATAGGGGCTAACGGATAACAAACACAGTGGGCGGGGACTCCGTGAGCACACGGGGTGGTGCCCGCAACGACGTCCGTACTGGACGGCGTGAGGGGGGTTTCGATCCTCTAGGGGGGTATAAAAAGGGTTGAGCCAGAGAGCTCGGGGCTCAGTCTTAGTGTAGTTAAGGGAAGAGAGAAGACCGGCCAGATAAGCCCTGGACTCCCCCTGGGACGCCGCCCTTGTAAGGGCAGTGCAGGCTGGAGCCAGTGGCGTGGTCCCGGAACCAGAGTCAGACCTCTGGGATTCCGGGTACCGTAGCCCGACTAACCAGTGTCGGGCCAGACAGCCTCCCCTAGCCCGTTAGCGGAGGACTCAGCTAGGAAGGCTAGCTAGGGGTGAATTCCCAGTTGTACGGGTGAGGGGGCCGATACATCCCTCCAGTATTGTAAAGACATTGTGCAAATAAATACGTGTGCCTTACCCCGTTGTCCACGCGTCTTCAAGAACACTTCATAGGTAAGAGACGGGGGGAGGAGCCAGGGAGGAGATATAGAGAGGGGGGGGGGAGAGTGGAGCGTTGCAAGAGGGATTAGGAAAAGGGCGAGCACGGCACAATGCCGTGGGGGGGTGGGGGGGAGAGTGAGCGGGCTGGGGTGAGGGGGGTGGTGGAATCATCTTTATTCTTAGGTTTTTTCGGTAAAGTCACGTAGGTAAAAAATTAAAATTAATAAAAGTAAAGTAGAAATAAAATAAAAATCACGACGTTTCGGAGGCAACACAAGCTTCCGTCTTCAGGTGGAACCGTCACAGCACGATAGCTGTATCAAGTACATGAATAATTTACTTGATATAAATGAATCATTTACTTGATACAGCAAGCATGCTGTGAGGGTTCCACATGAAGACGGAAGCTTGTGTTGCCTCCGAAACGTCGTGATTTTTATTTTATTTTCAATGAACTTTTATTAATTTAAATGTGTTACCTACGTGACTTTACCGAAAAAAACCTAAGAATATGAATCCTTGCAGTCACGAAAGCTTCAAATCTGGAATCATCTTTGTCTTTAGGGGGGTACCCCCCACAGCATCTGCTTGCTCATCGCCCCATCTGCAATGGACAAGACCGCGCTGACAAGCTGACCTCTCCTGAGAAGGTGACGGTCCATCCGATGGCCACGTTGTTGAAAGTGAGCGGGGTGCTGTGGGCGTAAGCAGTTGGCTCCACGGTGGCTGTAAGGGAGAGAAGAAATACACGGGAACGTCACCCCTCAATGATCGTCGCGAGCTGATAGTCGAGTGACAGTGGTCAGTGGTCGATCACGACCACAGCCACCCAGTAGCCGAGTGAGCAAACGCATTTGCCAGGCCTGATATGCAGGGCGCCGTGGGCTTGATCCTGTTGTATATTTGGAAGGTTGCGTGTCTCTCTCTCCTCTCTGCAAAGCCGGATTAAGGTTCTTGCAGGGCTCTAGGCCACTTCTCTTTTGTTACGCTTTGAGTGATAATTCACTGCGTGACAAACATTGTTTTTACTTTTCGTTCCTGGGTAGTAAGTGTTATTTTCTAATTGCTTAAGCCTCAAAAGTATAGGCAATGGCTATTATTACCAAAAAACATTGCTTTTGTCACCAGGACACAAAATAAAAGTTAATAATCCACTTCATTAATAACACTGTGTAACAAATGTATATGTTTTTTGTTTCTGGGTATTAAGTATTATTTCCTAATTGCGTATGCGTCAAAAGTGTAGAAAAAGGCTATTATCCCCCACAAACTTTGCTTTTGTGACCAGAACATTGATATTTTGAAATGTACCTATTTTCAATGGGAAAACGTGGCGTGCATTTGTGTCATTCCTTCGCGTAAAGTCCCGGTCACAAAAGCAAAGTTTGTGGGGGAATAATAATAGCCATTATCTTTACTTTTGAGGCATAAGCAATTAGAAAACAACACTTACTACCCAACATAGTGAATTATATAACTTTCCAACAGTTCGTACTGCTTGACGCTGACCCCACGTCACCACTCACGACCGCCTCCGGCACTCCGCGCAACGCATCGCGAGCGACCGCCCAATCGGATCATTCGACGGACGATCTAAAAACAAATCCACGTGACGATTCTTTTAAGCAGTCGATTGGCTATCGAATTTCGACGTCGATTTGAAATCGTGAAATCGCCACCACGATGGGGGGGCGAGAGAGATATAGCATGCGAACTCCAAATACACAGGCGTCGTCTGGGTCGTGATCGAACCCACGACCTCCCTATGCCACCCAAGCCCATTGAGATGTATCCCTATGGGGGAGGGGGGGGGGAAGTCCCCGTTATTCGTCGCTTCGCTATAAGAGGCCATTCATAAATGACGTCACGCACCTAGGGGGGGTGGGGTCAGACATTTGTGACGATGTGTGACGAGGGAGGGGGGGGTTTGAGAAATCTGACGTCACATCAAAATGCGCAACTTTAAATAAATATAGACAACACGTTCTGCTTAATTAAATATACTTTTTGATAAATGTTTTCTCCTACAACATCAGAGTGCAGCGCCACATTAAATACGCACTACAATGACAATAGTTTCAAGCGATTTGAAGCATGTTTTATTTTGGGGGGGGGGGCAGAGCTTTGTGACGTCATATTTGAGGGGGGGTCTGACTTTTTGTGACACCGTGTGACGAGGGGGGGGGGGGTAAAAAATCGTCCAAAATCGCGTGACGTCATTTATGGACGGCCCCTAAGTCGCTACTTGTTTATAGTTTAGTTGTGGCACTTACCCCCCAAAAGTCTGATGAGGCTAAGGGGTTGTTGTGTGTGTGTGTGCATGTGTGTGTGTGCGGTCGTCTCAAACAGTCGACCCGTGGCACCTGGGTCTGCCCCGTGACCTCCTTCCAGCGGGCGTTCGACACTTCACGTGGCCTCAAGGTGCACATGGCCTGGCACAAGCGTCGTGGTGACGTCACAGCCACTTAGTGGCGAATGGCGGTTGTTGTTGTGTGTGCGTGCGTGTGTGCGTGTGTCAGGCCTTACGTGAGACTCTGACGGTCACGCAACGCAGCTCCGTCTCCTGCCTGTTCCGTCCAGAGAGAGAGAGAGAATCAAAAATCGGTACTTAATAGTGCACGAGATGTCCAGTTAGGGGGGGGGGGCACAGGGTTAAAAAGTTCCAAACAACGCACACACACACAAAGCAAAAACACGATAGGAGTGCAGAGTGCGAGAAAGATAAACAAAGCACATTAAAACAAAAACTAACTTTAATTGCTACCAGGTAAGCCCCCACTGAGCTATGTTAGTATCGACCCTGGGCCATCGCAAATAATGGCCGCTCAACCACGTGACTGACGTCATCAACATCGTCACCGTCACGTGGACATTTACAGCAGCAGCCAAATACTTTAAACACGTAGAGATACACAGAGACCCATAGAGATACATACAGACCCATAGTAATACATAGAGACCCATAGAGATGCACAAATACCCATAGAGATACATAGAGACCCATAGAGATACATAGACCCATATAGATACATAGATACCCATAGAGATACATAGAGACCCATAGAGATACACAGAGACCCATAGACATACACAGAGATCCATAGAGATACATACAGACCCATAGAGATACATAGAGACCCATGGAGATACACAGAGACACATAGAGACACACAGAGGTCCATAGAGATACATACAGACCCATAGAGATACATAGAGACCCATGGAGACACACAGAAACACATAGAGACACACAGAGACCCATAGAGACACACAGAGACACATAGAGATACACAGAGACACAGAGACACACAGAGACCCATAGAGATACACAGAGACCCATGGAGATACACAGAGACCCATAGAGATGCATAGAGACCCATAGAGATACACAGAGACCCATGGGGATACACAGAGACCCATAGAGATACATACATACTCACAGATTAAACCATTATTTTTGTGACCAGGTAAGGACCCCACTGAGCTGCTACATAGTAGCTCTTTTTCAGAAGCGACCTCAACATCACAAGTGATAGCCGCTCAACAAAACGCGGCAGCCAAATACGTCGATTCTAAATGCGGAGGGCACCCGGAGTGATACAAAAACCACGCGACCACCATGAGGAGAGAGAGAGAGCGAGAGAGAGAGAGGGAGACACGCAAACTCCAATATATACAACGGGAGGCAGGGTCTTGGTCGAAGACCACGACCTCCTGCATACCAGGCGAGGTAGTTAACATCTCCTCGCCGCCGTGGCGTATTCACCGCGTGCATAGAGGCTACTTGGAATGTTGTGTGCGATGTATTGTTGCTAGGTGAGTGAGTATACTGCTAGCTGAGTGAGTGTACTGCTGGGTGAGTGAGTGTACTGCTGGGTGAGTGAGTGAGCTGCTAGGTGAGTGACTGCACTGCTAGTTGAGTGAGTGTACTGCTAGGTGAGTGAGTGTACTGCTAGGTGAGTGAGTGCACTGCTGGGTGAGTGAGTGAGCTGCTAGGTGAGTGACTGTACTGCTAGGTGAGTGAGCGTACTGCTAGGTGAGTGAGTGTACTGCTAGGTGAGTGAGTGTATTGCTGGCTGAGTGAGTGTACTGCTGGCTGAGTGAGTGTACTGCTGGCTGAGTGAGTGTACTGCTAGGTGAGTGAGTGTGTGTGCTGCTCCTTACGTGGTGCTCTCGGAGGCGTAGAAGCAGACCTGGTGGGTGCGCACGTCCTTGTTGGTGGGCATCCACGTGAGGCGCGTGTGGAACAGCTGCGGGTTCGTGGCGTCCACCGTGATGGGGTCCTTGTTGAAGCCGAACGGAGCGAATGTGCCCAGGCGAGGGATCGTCACGCTGAAGGGGATTGCACGACCGGGTGGGGGGGGGGGGGGTGATGGATCGCTCTAACAAACCCCCCCTCTTCCTCCTCCTCCTCCTCGTAACACGTCTAGCGGAAATGCCGTCGGGAGGGGCCGTATCCCCGACTGGCTCCGCCAGGCTGAAGATGGCAGGAGATGAAAGTGTGCGGACTAATCTCCATCTGTTCCATCTCATTCACTTCTAGCCCGTGAGTGGACTAATCTCCATCTGTTCCATTTCACTCCCTTCTAGCCGTGAGTGGACTAATCTCCATCTGTTCCATCTCATTCCCTTCTAGTCGTGAGTGGACTAATCTCCATCTGTTCCATCTCACCCCCCTCTACCCTGTGGGTGAACTAATCTCCATCTGTTCCATATCACTCCCTTCTACCCGTGTGTGGACTAATCTCCATCTGTTCCATCTCATTCCCTTCTACCCCGTGAGTGGACTAATCTCCATCTGTTCCATCTCACTCCCTTCTACCCCGTGAGTGGACTAATCTCCATCTGTTCCATCTCACTCCCGTCTACCCCGTGAGTGGACTAATCTCCATCTGTTCCATCTCACTCCCTTCTACCCCGTGAGTGGACTAATCTCCATCTGTTCCATCTCACTCCCTTCTACCCGTGTGTGGACTAATCTCCATCTGTTCCATCTCATTCCCTTCTACCCCGTGAGTGGACTAATCTCCATCTGTTCCATCTCACTCCCTTCTACCCCGTGAGTGGACCAATCTCCATCTGTTCCATCTCACTCCCTTCTACCTGTGGGAAGACCAATCTCCATCTGTTCCATCTCGCTCCCTTCCAGCCGTGCGTGGACCAATCTCCATCTGTTCCATCTCACTCCCTTCTACCCGTGGGTGGGTGTCTAGGAGTAGCCGTAGCCCCCTGGCTCTGCCTGCTAGAAAGGCGGTGCAGCACCTTCGCCCTAACCCAGCTGTCCCGTCTTTGCGGTGGATATAACGTTGCAGCCTCGCACGCACTCACACCACGTGCCTTTGGAAGCACGTGGTGTGATGCGGGGGCCGGTGGAGGGACGGTGTGGTGGGGGGAGTGCTGGAGGGGGGGGGGAATTGTAGGTGGGGGGGGGGGCCTCTCACGTCGCTGCCGAATCGGTCGCCACGGAGATGTCGATGGGCAGCTCGAAGAGGATTCCCTGCGTCACCACGTAGGACTGCCCGTTGGTGGGCGTGACGCCCACAAAGGTCGGCATCAGGCACGAGACGGCAGCTTCGACTGGAGGGAGGGGGCGGGGGCGGTGGGGGGGCATCGTCGTCAGCATCGACGCCATTTACAACATTGGTACCTCATTTGGCAGTAAAAAAAAATGATAATAGTTTTTTTTTTTCATTTACTTGATACAGCAAGCGTGCTGTGACGGTTCCACCTGAAGACGGAAGTTTGTGTTGCCTCCGAAACGTCGTGATTTTTATTTTATTTTACTTTACCGGAAAAAACCTAAGAATATAATTGTTTTTTTACCCTTTTATCTGGCAACAAAACTGACATCTTTTTTACGAGGAGTCATGTTTGCATAGACCACAATGCCTGCAGTCATAATGCAAACAAAAAACATAACTCTGATAATGTGTGTTGCCAGATAAAAGGGTAAAAACCCAATTAGCGTATTTTTTACTGGCAAATGAGGTACCAATGGTGTAAATGCTTTACCCCGAGCTCTCATACTCTGATGGTGCATTGTCTTTGAGTTGTGCGCCTTTTGGCGTCATCTGGTCCAACACCATGTGAGACTAGGCTCTAAGAAAAGCTGTCTCGGGTGTGGACCAATCAACTTCAAGGACAGTGCATAGATTATCAGAGTTGTGTTTTATGTTTGCATTATGACCGCAGGTATTGTGGTCTATGCAAACATGACTCCTCGTAAAAAAGGTGTCAGTTTTGTTGCCAGATAAAAGGGTAAAATAAGTATAACCCGTAAAAACAAAATTTTTCACTCTAAATCCTTTATACGCGTGCCGGCTAGAGTCCTCTCGTCCTCTGGCTTGAGATGGCTGCCACCTATAGGTCAGATAAATATAATATTTTTGTCCTATAAAGTGTAACATTTTTTAAAAAAATTTTCACGAACATTAATTGTCACGCACAACGAGTCTGTGTGCAAAATGTCAGCTCGATTGGATCACGGAAAGTGGGTTAAAAAACGACCGAAAGATTTGCACGGTCGTAAGCAAGCACGCAAGCAAGCAAGCACGCAAGCAAGCAAGCGAACTTAATATAAAGGATTTTAAAACCAATTATCATCGACGTCATTGTCGTCGACATCGTCGTGGTCATCACCCGTGACTCACACTCGAGGAGGACCTGCAGAGGGATGCTGGACAGAGCGTCGCCCGGAGCGAAGCTCGCCGAGCCGATGGTCAGCGACGAGTTGACGGAGTCCTCGATCATCAGGGCCAGGGCCCAGAGTCCGTCAGCGTCCGGGGGCACCGTGAAGGTGATGAGGCAGGCGGCCTGTGCGGAGGGTTGGGTAGAGGGTGAATAGAGGGTGAGTGAATGAGTGGTGAGTGAGTGAGTGGGTACGTGGGTGGGTGAGTGGGTGAGTGGGTGAGTGGGTGGGTGGGTGAGTGAGTGAGTGCGTAGGTGGGTGAGTGAGTGGGTGAGTGAGTGGGTAGTGAGTGGGTAGGTGGGTGGGTGAGTGGGTGAGTGAGTGGGTAGTGAGTGAGTGGGTAGGTAGGTGGGTAAGTGAGTGGGTAGGTGGGTGGGTGAGTGGGTGAGTGGGTACGTGGGTGGGTGAGTGAGTGCGTAGGTGGGTAAGTGAGTGGGTAGGTGGGTGGGTGAGTGGGTGAGTGAGTGAATGAGTGGGTAATGAGTGAGTGGGTAGGTGGGTGGGTGAGTGAGTGGGTGAGTGAGTGCGTAGGTGGGTGAGTGGGTGAGTGAGTGCGTAGGTGGGTGAGTGGGTAGGTGGGTGGGTGAGTGGGTAGGTGGGTGGGTGAGTGGGTGAGTGAGTGAATGAGTGGGTAATGAGTGAGTGGGTAGGTGGGTGGGTGAGTGAGTGGGTGAGTGAGTGCGTAGGTGGGTGAGTGGGTGAGTGAGTGCGTAGGTGGGTGAGTGGGTAGGTGGGTGGGTGAGTGGGTAGGTGGGTGGGTGAGTGGGTGAGTGAGTGAGTGGGTAGCGAGTGAGTGGGTAGGTGGGTGGGTGAGTGGGTGAGTGAGTGAGTGAGTGGGTAGTGAGTGAGTGGGTAGGTGGGTGGGTGAGTGGGTGAGTGAGCGGGTGGGTGAGTGAGAGGGGACTGCAGTGAATTGGAACAACGACATTAAAGGGTCAGGAATTAGCGATCCCCTCACCCACTAACCCACCTACCCACCATCCCCCCACCCACCCACCTTTCCCCCCACCCACCCACCAACCCACCCACCCACCATTCCCCCACCCACCTTTCCCCCCTACCCACCCACCCACATTTCCCCCCACTCATCACCCACCCACCCATCTTTCCCCCCACTCACCACCCACCGACCAACCATTCCACTCACCCCCCTTACCACCCCCCCAAGACACCCACCCCCCACCTCAGCGAGAGAAGATGGGCCGCCCTATCCACCCACCTACCCACCATCCCCCCACCCACCCACCTTTCCCCCCACCCACCATCCCACCCACCCACCCACCCACCATCCCATCCACCTATCCACCATCCCACCCACCTTTCCCCCCCACCCATCTACCACCTTCCCCCCCACCCACCACCCACCACCCACCCCCCTTACCCCCCCCCCAAGTCATCCACCCCCACCTCGTCGAGGACTCCGTAGGGGGCGACCCCGCAGATGCCTCCGCACTCGTCGCGCGTTCCCTTCTCGGCGTAGCGGCACCGCACCGTGTCCCCGTCGGCATCGTACACCGGGATCTGCCACACCGTGGTGCAGCCGGCCTTCAGCCTGGGGGGGGCGGGGGGGGGGCGGGGGGGGCGGGGGGGGCGGGGGGGGGCGGGGGTGGGGGGGGCAGGTGGAGGGGACGGGGGGGGGGCCACCGAGAAACAAATGAGACGCGCACAATCGCAGACACGGGGAGCGGGGAGGGCCCCCCCGGAGGGGCCCCCCCCCGATCGCAAAAACTTTCCGCCACCGCATAAGAAGATTCAGGCTGGTGGTGATTGTGGCGGTACTCGTGGCAATATACTCGAGCCCTGCGGTGGTGAGACATTAACGATGCCTGCTGCTGCTGCTGCTGTGTATTTGGAGTTTGCGTCTCTCTCTCTGTCATCATCACTGTGGCTAGGAGATGTTAACTCTCTCGCCTGGTTTACGGGAGGTCGTGGGTTCGATCCCGACCCTGACGATGCCTGCTGCTGTATATTTGGAGTCTGCGTCTCTCATCATCATCATGGTGGCTATGAGATGTTAACTACCTCGCCTGGTATACAGGAGGTCGTGGGTTCGATCCCGACCCTGACGATGCCTGCTGCTGTGTATTTGGAGTTTGCGTCTCTCATCATCATCATGGTGGCTATGAGATGTTAACTACCTCGCCTGGTATACAGGAGGTCGTAGGTTCGATCCCGACCCTGACGATGCCTGCTGCTGTGTATTTGGAGTTTGCGTCTCTCTCTCTGTCATTATCATCACTGTGGCTAGGAGATGTTGACTACCTCGCCTGGTTTACGGGAGGTCGTGAGTTCGATCCCGACCCTGACGATGCCTGCTGCTGTATATTTGGAGTTTGTCTCTCTCTGTCATTATCATCACTGTGGCTAGGAGATGTTGACTACCTCGCCTGGTTTACGGGAGGTCGTGGGTTCGACCCCGACCCTGTCGATGCCTGCTGCTGTATATTTGGAGTTTGTCTCTCTCTGTCATTATCATCACTGTGGCTAGGAGATGTTGACTACCTCGCCTGGTTTACGGGAGGTCGTGGGTTCGATCCCGACCCTGACGATGCCTGCTGCTGCTGTAGATTTGGAGTCTGCATCTCTCTCCCTCTCTCCCCGTAGTCACGTGGATTTTTCTCCGGGACCTCCTCCGTTGATTCCATCCACATTTAAAATCTACGTCACCACACATTTAGAACGTTTGGCTACCGCTATCAATTTCCACACGCTGACAAGCCATTTGAGCTATCATTTGTGGCCAGGTCGCTTCTGACGAAAGAGCTACTGCATACTCATTGACATGCTAATTTCTCTGCTCCAGCAGCTGCCCCAGCAGACCCACCTCTCTCTCTTCCCCCCTCCCCCCTCTCTATTTAAGGCCTCGACACAGAGGCATTGGGTCTCCGTTGTGTCTATGTGTGCGCCTCTCTCTGTGTGTCTCTGTGTGTCTCTCTCTGTGTGTCTCTGTGTGAGTCTCTCTCTGCTTGTGTGTCTGTCTGTGTGTCTATGTTGTGTGTCGCTCTCTGTGTGTCTCTGTGTTGTGTGTCTCTCTCTCTCTCTCTATGTTGTGTGTCGCTCTCTGTGTGTCTCTGTGTGAGTCTCTCTCTGCTTGTGTGTTTGTCTGTGTGTCTCCGTGTCTGTGCTTTGTCTCTCTCTCAAATTTAGTTCTACCTGATGACGGTTGCTTGTGTTGCAATCGAAACGTCGTTTTCTATTATTTAAATTATTTTCTTTCTACGCGACTTTACCGAAAGAACCAAGAAGATTATCAGAGTTATGCTTTTTTGCATTATGACTGCAGGCATTGTGGTCAATGCAAACACGACTCCTCGTAAAAAAAGGTGCCAGTTTTGTTGCCAGATAAAAGGGTAAAAAAACAATTATCATCCCGAGTCTAGTCAGAGAAAAGTAAAATCGGGAAGGGGGGGGGGCTAGAGGTGCATGGGGATTGACGCGGAGAGACGTGAAAGGGGAGTGGAGCGAGATGGTTGTGTGGGGGGTGGGGGGAGGGGGGTCACCTAATGAGCGGCTTGGAGGCGGTGACGGGCGAGACGTTGGGAGCCCCCGTGTCGCTGCGTACGCCCGGGTTGAGCACAGTGATGAGTGACCAGTCCCACTCGGACGCCTCAATCTGGTTGTTCACCCTCCACACCAGGACGTTCACCCAGCAGCAGTCGCGGAAACTGTATGGGTGTTTCCAAAGAACACAGGATGAGATGTTACTATCCTTTGTGCAAGCACTTCCAAGAGTTCATGAACTGTGAGCCTGGTGAAATTTGGGGAGCGCATCATCAGTAGTGAACATTTACAGAGAGATAGAGGGATGAGGGGGGATGGGGCGACGTGACATGGGAAGGGAGATGGAACAGATGGAGATTTATCTTCTTGGTTCTTTCGGTAAAGTCACGTAGAAGGGAAATAATAAAATAATAAAAATAAAACGTAATAAAATCATTCTCACGACGTATCGGCTACAACGCAAGCAGCCGTCACCTGAGGACGGCTGCTTGCGTTGTGGCCGAAACGTCGTGAGAATTATTTTATTATGTTTTATTTTTATTATTTTATTATTTCCTTTCTACGTGACTTTACCGAAAGAACCAATAAGTTGAATCCCTGCAGTCACGAAAGCTTTAAATCGAGATGGAGATTTGTCCACACACTTCTCTGTGATGTATCCACCTTCTTCTGGGGGGTACGGCTCCCAAATGCCCACGGGAAGAGTTAGGGGCCTAAATAAGGAGCGGTGGAGCCTGAAAGCGAAATGCGCGGATCCAGGAAAGGGTGCTGCCTAAGAAGTAAGGAGCTGAGGTCCTAAAGAGAACTGGGCGGGTCCTGGAGAGTAAGCAGCTAGAGTCCTACAGAGGTTGCGACCACGCAGCCAACTACCAATTCCGCATTGAGTCCAATCCACCGTACGTAGCCAACTGTTGCTAATCGGAGGTGTGGTGGGAAGGACGATAAACTAAACACAAATAGCAGTTCTAAAAAAAGAAAATCGGAAGGGAAGAACATTCCAGAAGGGCCGCAGAAGCAGCAGCATCTGAAAGCGCCGCGCGATGCAGTGGCCCTCATTTGTCGCAGGCCGGTCGCTTCTGCAAAAGATCTGGATAGTTCAGTGGGCCTTAGCTAGTGACACAAAACAAAGTTTCGTTCAATTTCGATTTCAAGCTTTCGTGACTGCAGGGATTCATCTTCTTGGTTCTTTCAATAAAGTCACGTAGAATGGAAATAATAAAATAATAAAAATAAAACATAATAAAATAATTATCGATTTAAAGCTTTCGTGACTGCAGGGATTCATCTTCTTGGTTCTTTCAATAAAGTCACGTAGAATGGAAATAATAAAATAATAAAAATAAAACATAATAAAATAATTCTCACGACGTTTCGGCCACAACGCAAGTAGCCGTCCTCAGGTGAAGAGCGCCTTGACAAACGAATTTGCATATCAAGAGGAATTTTAGCATATTTAATTCCTCTTGATATGCAAATTATTTTGTCAAGGCGCTCTTGCTCCTCCCTCCCAGCTTAAATAGTCGCTCCAAGCCTGGGGTGTGTCATTCAGAACTCTGTCTTCTCGACAGACCTGTTCTTCACCTGAGGACGGCTGCTTGCGTTGTGGCCGAAACGTCGTGAGAATTATTTAATTAAGTTGTATTTTTATTATTTTATTACTTCCATTCTACGTGATGACTTTACCGAAAGAACCAAGAAGAAAAAAGTTTCGTTCAATAGTTTTAATCATCGCGGATGGTCAGCAAAGGACCGTTTGCGCCAATTGCGTGACCTCTTGCGACGGCGTTCCAGACGGCCGCAGGAGCGCATCTGAAAGCGCGCGCGCAGATGCGGCGACCGCCATCTTTGCTCGACGGCCGAGCCAGAAGGCCTCCGCTGCCGCGAGGACGACCCGAGTTCTTCGCGTGATGACCGGAGTTTGTAAGGAGGGCCGACCCCGCGCAGTCAACCAATTGGCCCAACGCATTGGCGTTGGTGGGGGGGAGGTTGGGGGTGGAGGAGGAAGGGGTCGTAGCGTCGCCGGCCGGGGCAGTCCAGAGGTCGCAAACGGGTTTTGATTCCTTACCCGTACCCGGCCACACCAGGGTCGCAAACGAGTACCCGTACCCGTACCCGGCCGTACCCGTACCCTACCCGTACCCGGCCGGGTACGGGTAGGGTACGGGTATGACCCGGCCGGGTACGGGTAGGGTACGGGTATCGGGTACCTGATTGCGACCTCTGGGATGAAGCCATGTTGCAGGCGCGGGTGGGTTGATTCTAGGAACTTGAATCGTGAGAAGAGACAAGACGTTGGGAAATGAGTGACAAACGGTGACTCACCAGTGACTCACAGCCTACCCGTACCCGTACCCGGCCGGGTACGGGTAGCCGGGTACGGGTAGGGTACGGGTATCGGGTAGGGTACGGATATCGGGTACCTGATTGCGACCTCTGGGATGAAGCCACATTGCAGGCGCGGGTGGGTTGATTCTAGGAACTTGAATCGTGAGAAGAGACAAGACGTTGGGAAATGAGTGACAAACGGTGACTCACCAGTGACTCACGGCCTACCCGTACCCGTACCCGGCCGGGTACGGGTAGCCGGGTACGGGTAGCCGGGTATCGGGTAGGGTACGGGTATCGGGTACCCGGTTGCGACCTTTGGGGCAGCCGGCCGGACCGGGGACACGGGCTGTCTGCCGGACGATTTGTCGGTAGGCCACTCACGCGATGACACTGGGCGCCGTGGGCGGGACGTTGAAGTCGAACGCCGACGAGCCGATCATCCAGTTGGAGTTCTGGTTCTGCTCGATGCAGGAGTAGGACAGCGAGTAGGTGGACGAGCAGCTCTCGGTGCAGCGCCACCTCTGGTACGAGGTGAACGACTTGCCAGAGGCGATGTCGGCGTCCACGCACGTCCCGCCTTCGCCAGAGTTTCGTCGCCACGCGAGCATGTAGTAGAAGTGATACTGGTGCGGGAGAGAAGAGGTTTCGTGGGGAGATGGGGAGGAGGTGGAGGAGGACATTATATATAATCAACGTTTTTGGGTTTAGATCGCGTTATTTATAAATGTGTCGTAACCCTCCACCACCCGACACGGCCAATCAGTAAAAAAGTGTCACGTTGACAAAAGACAAATAGTTCACTGCTTTAGCCCACCGGTGTGTTGAAGCCACAATATTTACAATTTGAGTACGACGTTTCGTTGGTAATTGCATCCAGCATCATCGGGCATGGTGAGGCTCTGCTGTGTCTCCCGTCCTTATAAAGAGCAGCAGCAGGGTGACGTCATCATTAACTCATCAACTCATCAGGACATTATAGTTTGATTTAAAGCTTTCGTGACTGCAGGGATTCATCTTCTTGATTCTTTCGGCAAAGTCATCACGTAGAAGGGAAATAATAAAATAATAAACATAAAACATATTCAAATAATTCTCGATTTAAAGCTTTCGTGACTGCAGGGATTCATGTTCTTGGTTCTTTCGGTAAAGTCATCACGTAGAAGGGAAATAATAAAATAATAAACATAAAACATAATCAAATAATTCTCGATTTAAAGCTTTCGTGACTGCAGGGATTCATCTTCTTGGTTCTTTCGGTAAAGTCATCACGTAGAAGGGAAATGATAAAATAATATAAATATAAAACAATACAAATTCTCACGACGTTTCGGCCACGACGCAAGCAGCCGTCCTCAGGTGAAGAACAGGTCTGTCGGAAAGACAGCGTCTGAATGAAACACCACCAGGCTTGGTTCTGTTCTTCACCTGAGGATGGCTGCTTGCGTTGTGGCCGAAACGTCATGAGAATTGTATGTTATTATGCGTTATTTTATTATTTTATTATTTCCCTTCTACGTGACGACTTTACCGAAAGAACCAAGAAGATGGTCCAAGCTACTGGGGAGGTCCCCCTTTTTGCACCTTGCCATCGAGGGGCGGGGCTGCGTGGGATCCTGAAACCCCCGCAGCCCCCCCCCCTTGCCCCCCCCTGTTGGGTAAGGAAGTGAGTGAGCGGGTGGGTGGGTCGGTGGATGGGTGAGTGGGTGAGTGGGTCGGTGGGTGGGTGGGTGAGTGAGTGGGTGAGTGAGCGGGTGGGTGGTTGAGTGAGTGGGTCAGTGGATGGGTGAGTGAGTGGGTGAGTGAGTGAGTGGGTGAGTGAGTGAGTGGGTTAGTGAGTGGGTCAGTGGATGGGTGAGTGGGTGAGTGAATGGGTGAGTGGGTGAGTGGGTCGGTGGGTGGGTGGGTGAGTGAGTGGGTGAGTGAGCGGGTGGGTGGTTGAGTGAGTGGGTCAGTGGATGGGTGAGTGAGTGGGTGAGTGAGTGAGTGGGTGAGTGAGTGAGTGGGTTAGTGAGTGGGTCAGTGGATGGGTGAGTGAGTGAGTGGGTTAGTGAGTGGGTCAGTGGATGGGTGAGTGGGTGAGTGAATGGGTGAGTGGGTTAGTGGGTAGGTGGGTGGGTGAGTGAGCGGGTGGGTGGGTGGGTGAGTGGGTGAGTTGGTCCGTGGATGGGTGAGTGGGTGAGTGAGCGGGCGGGTGGGTGAGTGGGTGAGTCGGTTAGTGGATGGGTGAGTGGGTGGGTGGGTGAGTGAGCGGGTGGGTGAGTGAGTGGGTTAGTGGATGGGTGAGTGAGTGAGTGGGTAGGTGGGTGGGTGGGTGAGTGAGTGGGTGAGTGAATGGATGAGTGTGTGGCTGGGTGAGTGGGTCAGTGGATGGGTGAGTGGATAAGTGGGTGAGTACATGGGTTGGTGAGTGGGTGCCTGGATAGGTTCGTGAGTGGCTGAGTGAGTCAAGTTTATTTTTGCTTACTGCACACAAAGACAAAGGTCTCCCGTATAGCCTTAACAGACTGTAGGGGCAAGTGTTGTTAGAGAGCACCTATGAAGGCCAGAACGGCACACGAGGGGGTGGGTGGCCAGCACCACGACCGGCCGCCTTTGTCTCCCCAGTGGCGATATTTACTACACACCGCACCGGGTACTCATTTGAGGCTGAGTCGACCTAAGAGAGGCCCAGGACCGGCTCAGATAATCATCGCCGGTGTTGGCCGTGTGAGGGAATCGAACTCGGGTCACCGCAGCGTAGCGCTAACCACTACACTACCGCTCCCCACTACACAGACACACAGACACACACAGACACACACAGACACACAGACACAGACACACAGACACAGACACACAGACACACACAGACACACACACAAACACACACACACAAACACACACAAACACACACCCACAGACACACACACACAGACACAAACACACACACAGACACACACACATACAGACACACACACACGATCGCGGTTTGATTTGCGATTACATTTTTGTGGTCGAGTGACAGTTCAATGTTCACCGCGTGACAGATTTAAAACACGCGATGAAGCATTAACGCGTGAAACCATCAAAATATGAATCGCTCTATATATTCTAATGCAAGGATAAGAACTCAAAAGATATGAATTGCTTCCAACATGTATTTATTACAATGTTTTCATTGAAATAGAACAATCAAATATAGAACAACTGTTAAGTTAAATAAATGAAGTTCTAATAATAATTTTTTTAAACAATTTTTTTAAAACAATTTCAATAAGAAAGCAATATGACTTTTAAAATCTCAAAAAATCGCAGCCTTTATGATTTGCTAATCGCATCGTTTTAAATTGCGATATCGATTTGAAATCAATTAATTGTTCAGCCCTATCCATAGTATTATATTCTTGATTCTTTCGGCAAATTAACGTAAATAAAAAAACCAAAATTTTTTAATAAAATAATAAAATAAAATGAAAATAATACGAATCAAATAAAAATAATAAATTGAAAATAATAAAAAATTAAATTAATACATTTAAAATAATAAAAATAAAGCAAAAATAATAAATTGAAAATAACAAAAATTTAAATAATACATTGAAAATATTAAAAATAAAATAAAAATAATACATTGGAAATAATCAAAAACAAAAACCCCACCTATCCATAGGCGCTGCTACTCGCTAACAGCACTCGCCCCAACGTTCTGTTACCGGCTACACGAGGCCGAGACGGTGAGATGGATATTCGCCTTTGTAGACGACACAAACGCTAAACCCCCTCAACAACTCTCACACCCCCCCCACACCCCGGGTGATTTCTACGTGTCTCAAAAAATGTCTACTCAGCGGTCGGGTTTACGACGCCAGGAGGATGGTCATTATCGCTTCGAGTTCACCACGACCCACCCCAACCCCCCAACACCATCCCATCCCCTCGGGGGTGGTTTCTCAAATTATGGCACGAAAAGCCGCATTCTTATCGCACATATCTCAGAGTCCCGGGGTGGGGGGGCGGAATGGAATTGGTCAGTGGTTGTTAACATTCACTCACTCACTCACCCAACCACTCACTCACCCACTCACCCACCCACTCACCCACCCACTCACCTACCCACTCACTCACTCACTCACCCACTCACCCCCCCACTCAACAACTCACCCGCATATTCGCCCACTCACCCAGCCACTCACCCACTCACCCACCAACTCACCAACTCACTCACCCACTCACCTACCCCCCCCCCCCCCACTCACCATCTCACCCACGCATTCGCCCACTCACCCACCCATTTACCCACACATTCACCCACTCACCCACCAACTCACTCACCCACTCACCCACCCACTCACCCCCCACTCACCATCTCACCCACACATTCGCCCACTCACCCACTCACCCACACATTCACCCACTCAGCCGCACATTCACCCATTCACACAATCACTCACCCACACATTCACCCACCATTCACCCACACATTCACCCAATCACCCACTCACCCACTGACCCACACACTCACCCACACACTCACCCACACATTCACCCACTCACCCACACATTCACCAACTCACTCACCCACTCACCCACACATTCACCCACTCACTCACACATTCACCCACTCACTCACACATTCACCAACTCACTCACCCACTCACCCTAACAATCACCCACTCACCCTCTCTATCCTAGCGCCCCAGTAGCAGTGTAACGAGCAGCATGGGGGGGGCAGACGGGGTGGGGGGCCTCTATGGGCAATATTAGTCTATGGGCAAAGCTAGTCTATGGGTAATGTTAGTCTATGGGCAATGTTAGTCTTTCTGCAATGTTAGTCTACGTGCAATCTTAGTCTATGTGCAATGCTAGTCTATGTACAATGTTAGTCTATAGGCAATGTTAGTCTATGGGCAATGTCAATATATAGCCAATGTTAGTCTATGGGCAATGTTAGTCTACGATAATTGCATCGGATGCTCCCAGTTGCATCCAATTGTTCAAGTTGCCTCGGATGTAATAACATTACTACTCAGCAATATAACAAAGACAAAGATCCTCCGTATAGTCTTAGCAGACATTTGGGGCAAGTGCTGTTAGCGAGTAGTAGCACCTATGAAGGCCGGCACGGCACACGAGAGAGTGGGTAGCCGCCTTTGTCTCCCCAGTGGCGATGTTTTTTTTCACCAGAGTACGCATTTGAGGCTGAGTCAACCTGGAGGAGGCGCCCTAGACTGGTCTCAGATCACTGCTATCACCTAAGCTGGTGGTGGCCGTGAGCGGGAATCGAACTCGGGTCGTTGGGTTCGTAGCGCAGCGCTAATCGCTGCGCCACCGCTCCCCACAAATATAACATAACCTACATCATGTGACCTCCTTTGCCAGCACCAAAATTTGGGAATAGGGTTTTCCCCTTTTTTCTGGTAACAAAACAGTTGTGTTAAGAAGTTAAAACACCAAACTGAAACCTTTTACAAGGAATCATGTCTGCATTGACCACGATACTTGTGGTCAGAATGCAAACCAAAAAAACGTACTTTGATAATATATGCATTGTCTTTGTGCTGTACGCCTTTTGGCGTCTTCTGGTCTAACACCGTTTGAGACGAGGCTCAAAAGAAAGCTGTCTCTGGTGTGGACCAATCAGTTTCAAAGACAATGCATTTATTACACTGGTCAACACACTTTTTCTGGCATAAGGTATTCCAATGGTTTTAAAGTAATTTTGGGGTGCTGATTCCAAATCTGGCATCAGTTTTTGTCTATCACATCAGGTTTTTGAGATATCAAATATTGCATTTTCAATAAAAACTGCAGAAGAAAAATATAAAATAAATGTGGATATCTACATAAAATGATATTATAAACACACTATCCTAAAAATACAGCACCATATTTTAACACTAAAGCAGTCACTGACTCGCAACAACTTGCAATCATAAGTGACAGAGTTAATTTCGGGTAAAATCAATGAAAATGGGGTATGTCGATAGCATAAAAATGAGATGTGATAGAGCAAATCTGAGATCAGTTATGGAATCAGTACCCTGAAATTAGTCTAGAACAGCTGCAAAAGTCCAGGCCAGAAAAAAATGTTTTTTTTTGTTGACCAGTGTATGTTTTGTTGACCAGTATGTTTTTTGATTGTGGTTAATGCAGACATGATTCCTTGTAAAAGGTTTCAGTTTGGTGTTTTAACATCATAACAGACCCTCTGTTAACACTGACATTTCAGACTGCAAATGTCAAACGTGCCCGTTTCAGATATGCATCCACCCTGAGCAATTCCGGCTCTCAGTGTCCGTGACAGAGCATTCTAAACCCCCTGAGAGAGAGAGAGAGAGACACGCAGACACAGGGTTTGAGCTTTGAACGGGATTGGGCATGGCCATTATGAACCCTCTGTGAGAGAGAGAGAGACACATAGACTCAGAATTTGAACCCAGGATCTCTACATTTCTGGCTCAATGTCTCTGACACGGCCATTATGAACGCCCCTTGAGAGACACCCAGACCCAGGATCTGAACCCAGGATCTCTACAACTCTGGTTCAGTGTTTCTGACACAGCCATTTATAACCCCCCTAGAGACACCAGACCCAGGATTTGAACCCAGGATCTCTGCAATTCTGGCTCAATGTTTCTGACACGGCCAATTATGAACGCCCCTTGAGAGACACCCAGACCCAGGATTTGAACCCAGGATCTCTACAACTCTGGCTCAGTGTTTCTGACACGGCCATTATGAACCCCCCTGAGAGACACCCAGACCCAGGATTTGAACCCAGGATCTCTGCAATTCTGGCTCTGTGTTTCTGACACGGCCAATTATGAACGCCCCTGAGAGACACCCAGACCCAGGATTTGATCCCAGGATCTCTGCAATTCTCGCTCAGTGTCTCCGACACGGCCATTATGAACCCCCCTAAAGACACCCAGACCCAGAATTTGAACCCAGGATCTCTGCAACTCTGGCTCAGCGTTTCTGACACGGCCATTATAAACCCCCTGAGAGACACCCAGACCCAGGATTTGATCCCATGATCTCTTCAATTCTCGCTCAGCGTCTCTGACACGGCCAATTACGAGTCAACTCGTGATGAAAAAACAAGGAAAAAAATCATCAAAACCCACCCAGAGATTGTTTCAAACCGTGAAGCCTGCAGGATTTTGGGGCGAGCGAGCGTGCGTGAGTGCCGGGCATCACCTGGTCACCCTCCGACTGCTTCCACGAGATGGTTCCACCGCGCAGGTGAGTGGCATCGGATCCCGGTGGGACGAGTACGAGGAGGAGGACGACGACGAGGTGGAGGAGGAGGAGAAGAGGCCCCAGGTGGAGGCTCGACGAAAGCCTCATGGTGACCACCGTGGAGCCGTCGGTCACACAGGCGCGTGCGCGCGTGGGATGGGTGACAGGGTCAGAGGGAGACGCGGCGTGAAGACGCGTAAGAGTTACCTGAGTTGGCAGGTTGAGAAGATCGCCCTTATATACAGATTGTGGGCACGCGGGGGGGGGGGGGGGGGGCCGAGTCAGCATTCCGTGAATGAATCAGGGGTGTGCGTGCGTGCTTGGTTGTGTGGGTGGGTGGGTGGGTTGGTGCATGGGTGGATGTGTTGTTGTGTGGGTGGGTGGGTGTGTTGGTGGTTGGGAATGTAGGTGTGTAGGTGTCTGTGTGTGTGATTCATCTTATCTTTGTGTGGGTGATTGACATTGCCCATAGACTAACATTGCACATAGACTAACACTGCCCATAGACGAACATTGCACATAGACGAACACTGCACGTAGACTGGCAGATGCACAACTGGTGCATCTGCCAGTCATCTCACTCAGTCGCCTGATGATGCTGGCTCTAATTGTAATTGCCGGCGAAACGTCACGGTTACTAGAATGGTAAATGTTGTGGTGGGTTTACTCTGCAACACACAAGCCGTTAGTGCTGAACTAGTATACTACACTATACACTCCACTATACACGACACTACACACTACACTACACACTACATTATACACTACACTATACACTACACTATTATTGTAATGTTGTGGTGGGTTTACTCTGCAACACACAAGCCGTTAGTGCTAAATTAGTATACTACACTATACACTCCACTATACACGACACTACACACTACACTACACACTACATTATACACTACACTATACACTACACTATAATTGTAATTTTGTGGTGGGTTTACTCTGCAACCCACCAGCGGTTAATGCTGAACTCGTAACGAATTGGTTTTATTTACGTGACACAAACATTAATAATTGGCTGTGTCGGGTGGTGGCGGGTTTAGCAACACAACATTTATATATTTACGCGATCTAACCCAAAAAAAACCTCTATTATGGACCGTGGTACCAGCGTCTGTCCCGTGACCTGCACCTAGCCGGGCACAGCAGTCAACCCATGTCACCTGCTGGGTCTGTCCCGTGACCTGCACCTAGGCGGGCACAGCAGTCAACCCATGTCACCTGCTGGGTCTGCCCCGTGACCTCCTGCACCTAGCCTGGTACAGCAGTCAACCCATGGCACCTGGGTCTGCCCCATGACCTCCTGCACCTAGCCTGGCACAGCAGTCAACCCGTGGCACCTGCTGGGTCTGTCCCGTGACCTGCACCTAGCCGGGCACAGCAGTCAAACCATGGCACCTGCTGGGTCTGTCACGTGACCGCATGCACCTAGCCTGGCACAGCAGTCAACCCATGGCACCTGCTGGGTCTGTCCCGTGACCTGCACCTAGCCGGGCACAGCAGTCAACCCATGGCACCTGCTGGGTCTGTCCCGTGACCTCCTGCACCCAGCCTGGCACAGCAGTCAACCCATGGCACCTGCTGCGTCTGTCCCGTGACCTCCTGCACCCAGCCTGGCACAGCAGTCAACCCATGGCACCTGCTGGGTCTGTCACGTGACCTCATGCACCTAGCCGGGCACAGCAGTCAACCCATGTCACCTGCTGGGTCTGTCACGTAACTTCATGCACATAGCTTGGGACAGCAGTCAACCCATAGCACCTGCTGGGTCTGTCCCGTGACCTCATGCACCTAGCCTGGCACAGCAGTCAACCCAAGGCACCTGCTGGGTCTGCCCCGTGACCTCCTCCTCCTCCTGCACCTAGCCTGGCACAGCAGTCAACCCATGACACCTGCTGGGTTTGCCCCGTGACCTCCTCCTCCTCCTGCACCTAGCCTGGCACAGCAGTACAACCCATAGCACCTGCTGGGTCCGTCTCGTGACCTCCTGCACCTAGCCTGGCACAGCAGTCAACCCATGGTACTTGGTGGGTCTGCCCCGTGACCTCCTCCTCCTGCACCTAGCCTGGCACAGCAGTAAACCCATGGCACCTGCTGGGTCTGCCCCGTGACGTCGTGCACCTAGCCTGGCACAGCAGTCAACCCATGGCACCTTTTGGGTCTGCCCCGTGACCTCCTGCACCTAGCCTGGCACAGCAGTCAACCCATAGCACCTGCTGGGTCCGTCTCGTGACCTCCTGCACCTAGCCTGGCACAGCAGTCAACCCATGGTACTTGGTGGGTCTGCCCCGTGACCTCCTCCTCCTGCACCTAGCCTGGCACAGCAGTAAACCCATGGCACCTGCTGGGTCTGCCCCGTGACGTCGTGCACCTAGCCTGGCACAGCAGTCAACCCATGGCACCTTTTGGGTCTGCCCCGTGACCTCCTGCACCTAGCCTGGCACAGCAGTCAACCCATGGCACCTGCTGGGTCTGCCCCGTGACCTCCTCCTCCTCCTGCACCTAGCCTGGCACAGCAGTACAACCCATAGCACCTGCTGGGTCTGTCACGTGACCTCATGCACCTAGCCTGGCACAGCAGTCAACCCATAGCACCTGCTGGGTCTGTCCCGTGACCTCCTGCACCCAGCCTGGCACAGCAGTCAACCCATGGCACCTGCTGGGTCTGTCACGTGACCTCATGCACCTAGCCTGGCACAGCAGTCAACCCAAGGCACCTGCTGGGTCTGTCCCGTGACCTGCACCTAGCCGGGCACAGCAGTCAACCCATGGCACCTGTTGGGTCCGTCTCGTGACCTCCTGCACCTAGCCTGGAACAGCAGTCAACCCATGGCACCTGCTGGGTCTGCCCCGTGACCTCCTCCTCCTCCTGCACCTAGCCTGGCACAGCAGTCAACCCATGGCACCTGCAGGGTCTGCCCCGTGACCTCCTGCACCTAGCCTGGCACAGCAGTCAAGCCATGGCACCTGCTGGGTCTGCCCCGTGACCTCCTGCACCTAGCCTGGCACAGCAGTCAACTTTGCCTTCATGGAAGTCGTGAACTCTAGACGCACAATTCTGTGAGTCGCTTATCACCGCTTTGCCCGTTACTTATTGCCAATTACGGACTCAGACTATTGTTCTATCATCTCAGAGTCCCTGGCACTTAATAATAACACTGGTCAACACACTTTTTCTGGCATAAAGTATTCCAACGGTTTCAAAGTAATTTTGGGGTGCTGATTCCAAATCTGGCATCTGTTTGCTTTTCTGGTAACAAAACAGTTGTGTCAAGATGTTAAAACACCAAACTGAAACCTTTTACAAGGAATCATGTCTGCATTGACCACAATACTTGTGGTCAGAATGCAAACCAAAAAAAAACGTACTTTGATAATATATGCATTGTCTTTGTGCTGTACGCCTTTTGGCGTCTTCTGGTCTAACACCGTTTGAGACGAGGCTCAAAAGAAAGCTGTCTCTGGTGTGGACCAATCAGTTTCAAAGACAATACATTTATTACACTGGTCAACACACTTTTTCTGGCATAAGGTATTCCAATGGTTTTAAAGTAATTTTGGGGTGCTGATTCCAAATCTGGCATCAGTTTTTGTCTATCACATCAGGTTTTTGAGATATCAAATATTGCATTTTCAATAAAAACTGCAGAAGAAAAATATTAAATAAATGTGGATATCTACATACAATTATATTATAAACACACTATCCTAAAAATACAGCACCATGTTTTAACACTAAAGCAGTCACTGACTCGCAACGACTTGCAATCATAAGTGACGGAGTTAATTTCGGGTGAAATCAATGAAAACGGGGTATGCCGATAGCATAAAAATGAGATGTGATAGAGCAAATCTGAGATCAGATTTGGAATCAGCACCCTGAAATTAGTCTAAAACAGCTGCAAAAGTCCAGGCCAGAAATGTTGTTGTTGTTGTTAACCAGTGTTATGGTTCTAGATTTGAAGCTTTCGTGACTGCAATGATTAATATTCTTAGGTCTCCCTGTTACAGATAGAGTCACAAACCGCACCTCTCCATAACAAAGGCTCAGCCTTTGTTATGCAGTCTATTCTTAGTCTCAAGCCTCACCTTACCATATTAATAAAAAAAGTATGCGGCCCTTGCCCCACCACCCTCTCCAACCATTATATAAACGGAGTGGTAGCTCCTGCAATCTCTCATTTACTTGATACAGCTGTCGTGGCTGTGACGGTACCACCTGAAGACGGAAGCTGCTTGTGTTGCCTCCGAAACGTCGTGATTTTTATTTTATTTAACTTTTTAATGTTTTTTAACGACAGTGTAATAGTGGCAGTGGGGGTCGAAAAATGCCTTTGTCTCCCCAGTGGCGATGTTCACACACACACTACACCAGTTACTCGTTTGAGGCTGAGTCGACCTAGGGGAGGCCCAGGACCGGTTAAAAATAATCGTCACCGGTGGTGGCCGTGAGCGGGAATCGAACTCAGGTCGCCGGGATCGTAGCGCGGCGTGGCGCTAACCGCTACACGACAACACGTGACGCTGCCACGTGCGCGGGTCACGTGACAGATGTGACGTCACAGCTCACTTTGCCGTGCAAAAAAAATACGCATTATTGAGCTCCCACGTGGCAAATTTAAAGTTTGTTGCATCTTCTTGGTTCTTTCGGTAAAGTCACGTAGAAGGGAAATAATAAAACATAATAAAATACAATTCTCACGACGTTTCGGCCACAACGCAAGCAGCCGTCCTCAGGTGAAGAACAGGTCTGTCGGAAAGACAGCGTCTGAATTTCTGTCGGGAAGACAGCGTCTGAATTTCTGTCGGGAAGACAGCGTCTGAATTTCTGTCGGGAAGACAGCGTCTGAATTTCTGTCGGGAAGACAGCGTCTGAATTTGTCGGAAAGACAGCGTCTGAATTTCTGTCGGGAAGACAGCGTCTGAATTTCTGTCGGGAAGACAGCGTCTGAATTTGTCGGAAAGAAAGCGTCTGAATTTCTGTCGGGAAGACAGCGTCTGAATTTCAGACGCTGTCTTTCCGACAGACCTGTTCATCACCTGAGGACGGCTGCTTGCGTTGTGGCCGAAACGTCGTGAGAATTGTATTTTATTATGTTTCATTTTTATTATTTCATCATTTCCCTTCTACGTGACTTTACCGAAAGAACCAAGAAGATGAATCCCTGCAGTCACGAAAGCTTTTAAATCGAAGTTTGTTGCATGTCGG